TGCAAAGAGCAAAGTTATGATACCTTTCAACACAAACACAGAGTAAGGAAAGTGGACACACTGCAAGATGTGCTGCGTCTTACCTGCACGTCAGGGATTGACCGCAGTGCATCACAGAACTGCTGCCTACTGGTGACGGTCTGCTCTTCTTCCACGCAACCAGGCCAGTCCAACCCCGTACCTGTTAAAAAAGATGTCCACAGGTCAAACCCCAAGAAGCACTCCCAAAACAAGGACCACAGAATAAACCGTGTACACCGATTGCGCATCCGCTTACCTTCAACGCCGGAGATGGCCGCAGTACGTCCCTGAACTCTGCGCACTTCCTCTGGCAGGCCGCAGTCTACTAATCATCTGGGAATCCACAACAGCCTAACCCTGACCTGTTGACACCAAAGATGGAGAAGTCAAAAAAGTGTGCCAAGAGTGAAAGAGTCAAAATGAAGAAAGTTCACAGAGGGCGAGGCGTGCACAAAGTATCTTACCGTCCCTGGGTTGGCAGACTCCTCTTCAAAGGACTGGGAACAGAGGGCTGCATCACACCGCATATCTACAGTAAAAAGAGAAGACATCAAGAGATCACAGTCTTCATCAAGCGAGATGAGGAAAAGATAAATCAACACAGTAAATTCAGGTGGGACACCAATCTTACCCTCTCTTCCATGTGCGGTCGCAGTCGATCCTTGCTACCCAGAATGCTGCTGAATGTCTCGGTGGGATCGACGCTCCTGAAAACACAGAAAATCAGGAGGTCAAAAGAAGGTCAATAGCTGCTATGATCAAGTTATAATGCAAAACAGGAAACCACATGTGCTACAAAAGCAGCCCTTTACTCACCGCCTTGGCAAATGTAAGCCGCTAGACAAAGCTGGGCAATGGGCTCCTTCCTCTTCATCTGTGGCTGGCTGGGTGGCTGGAGGCTGGCTGGGTGCTCCCGCGTTGTACCACGTCCGAGTGCCTGAAAATATACAACTGAGACGAGATTAGTAAAAATTCAAAACAATGAAACAAAGCACACAAATTCAAGGAAATTACAACAAAATCGATGTTAAGGGGTAGGGGATGGTTAGTGCTGTTAGATTAGGGAAGTGCACAGAAGACAGAGAAGAGACAGAAGGAAAGAAATAAATTCAAAATGCTTCTCTGTTAGGCTGCCTGGTAACGGCATTGGATCCTCTGGTGGGATGGGCTGGCTGGTGTGGGCTGGTGTGGGCTGCGCTGGATCCTGGGCTGGGCTGGGCTCTGCTGCTTGCTGCGCATCCTGTCAATTGGAAGTCAAGAGGTCAAATGCTGTTACGGTCAACATCATTTGGCAAGGTCAAGATCACAAAAGGCTGAGACAAAGATGTACAGTGTGAATCTTACCTCCTCTTCCCTTCTTGCCTGCTGTTGGGATCCTCCCGGGTCAGCATACACCTCCTCCTCTGCTAACAAAGCATAATCGAGACATCAAAACAACTTCCTACAGTTAACAAAATTTCAGCGAGTGCAAAGAGCAAAGTTATGATACCTTTCAACACAAACACAGAGTAAGGAAAGTGGACACACTGCAAGATGTGCTGCGTCTTACCTGCACGTCAGGGATTGACCGCAGTGCATCACAGAACTGCTGCCTACTGGTGACGGTCTGCTCTTCTTCCACGCAACCAGGCCAGTCCAACCCCGTACCTGTTAAAAAAGATGTCCACAGGTCAAACCCCAAGAAGCACTCCCAAAACAAGGACCACAGAATAAACCGTGTACACCGATTGCGCATCCGCTTACCTTCAACGCCGGAGATGGCCGCAGTACGTCCCTGAACTCTGCGCACTTCCTCTGGCAGGCCGCAGTCTACTAATCATCTGGGAATCCACAACAGCCTAACCCTGACCTGTTGACACCAAAGATGGAGAAGTCAAAAAAGTGTGCCAAGAGTGAAAGAGTCAAAATGAAGAAAGTTCACAGAGGGCGAGGCGTGCACAAAGTATCTTACCGTCCCTGGGTTGGCAGACTCCTCTTCAAAGGACTGGGAACAGAGGGCTGCATCACACCGCATATCTACAGTAAAAAGAGAAGACATCAAGAGATCACAGTCTTCATCAAGCGAGATGAGGAAAAGATAAATCAACACAGTAAATTCAGGTGGGACACCAATCTTACCCTCTCTTCCATGTGCGGTCGCAGTCGATCCTTGCTACCCAGAATGCTGCTGAATGTCTCGGTGGGATCGACGCTCCTGAAAACACAGAAAATCAGGAGGTCAAAAGAAGGTCAATAGCTGCTATGATCAAGTTATAATGCAAAACAGGAAACCACATGTGCTACAAAAGCAGCCCTTTACTCACCGCCTTGGCAAATGTAAGCCGCTAGACAAAGCTGGGCAATGGGCTCCTTCCTCTTCATCTGTGGCTGGCTGGGTGGCTGGAGGCTGGCTGGGTGCTCCCGCGTTGTACCACGTCCGAGTGCCTGAAAATATACAACTGAGACGAGATTAGTAAAAATTCAAAACAATGAAACAAAGCACACAAATTCAAGGAAATTACAACAAAATCGATGTTAAGGGGTAGGGGATGGTTAGTGCTGTTAGATTAGGGAAGTGCACAGAAGACAGAGAAGAGACAGAAGGAAAGAAATAAATTCAAAATGCTTCTCTGTTAGGCTGCCTGGTAACGGCATTGGATCCTCTGGTGGGATGGGCTGGCTGGTGTGGGCTGCGCTGGATCCTGGGCTGGGCTGGGCTCTGCTGCTTGCTGCGCATCCTGTCAATTGGAAGTCAAGAGGTCAAATGCTGTTACGGTCAACATCATTTGGCAAGGTCAAGATCACAAAAGGCTGAGACAAAGATGTACAGTGTGAATCTTACCTCCTCTTCCCTTCTTGCCTGCTGTTGGGATCCTCCCGGGTCAGCATACACCTCCTCCTCTGCTAACAAAGCATAATCGAGACATCAAAACAACTTCCTACAGTTAACAAAATTTCAGCGAGTGCAAAGAGCAAAGTTATGATACCTTTCAACACAAACACAGAGTAAGGAAAGTGGACACACTGCAAGATGTGCTGCGTCTTACCTGCACGTCAGGGATTGACCGCAGTGCATCACAGAACTGCTGCCTACTGGTGACGGTCTGCTCTTCTTCCACGCAACCAGGCCAGTCCAACCCCGTACCTGTTAAAAAAGATGTCCACAGGTCAAACCCCAAGAAGCACTCCCAAAACAAGGACCACAGAATAAACCGTGTACACCGATTGCGCATCCGCTTACCTTCAACGCCGGAGATGGCCGCAGTACGTCCCTGAACTCTGCGCACTTCCTCTGGCAGGCCGCAGTCTACTAATCATCTGGGAATCCACAACAGCCTAACCCTGACCTGTTGACACCAAAGATGGAGAAGTCAAAAAAGTGTGCCAAGAGTGAAAGAGTCAAAATGAAGAAAGTTCACAGAGGGCGAGGCGTGCACAAAGTATCTTACCGTCCCTGGGTTGGCAGACTCCTCTTCAAAGGACTGGGAACAGAGGGCTGCATCACACCGCATATCTACAGTAAAAAGAGAAGACATCAAGAGATCACAGTCTTCATCAAGCGAGATGAGGAAAAGATAAATCAACACAGTAAATTCAGGTGGGACACCAATCTTACCCTCTCTTCCATGTGCGGTCGCAGTCGATCCTTGCTACCCAGAATGCTGCTGAATGTCTCGGTGGGATCGACGCTCCTGAAAACACAGAAAATCAGGAGGTCAAAAGAAGGTCAATAGCTGCTATGATCAAGTTATAATGCAAAACAGGAAACCACATGTGCTACAAAAGCAGCCCTTTACTCACCGCCTTGGCAAATGTAAGCCGCTAGACAAAGCTGGGCAATGGGCTCCTTCCTCTTCATCTGTGGCTGGCTGGGTGGCTGGAGGCTGGCTGGGTGCTCCCGCGTTGTACCACGTCCGAGTGCCTGAAAATATACAACTGAGACGAGATTAGTAAAAATTCAAAACAATGAAACAAAGCACACAAATTCAAGGAAATTACAACAAAATCGATGTTAAGGGGTAGGGGATGGTTAGTGCTGTTAGATTAGGGAAGTGCACAGAAGACAGAGAAGAGACAGAAGGAAAGAAATAAATTCAAAATGCTTCTCTGTTAGGCTGCCTGGTAACGGCATTGGATCCTCTGGTGGGATGGGCTGGCTGGTGTGGGCTGCGCTGGATCCTGGGCTGGGCTGGGCTCTGCTGCTTGCTGCGCATCCTGTCAATTGGAAGTCAAGAGGTCAAATGCTGTTACGGTCAACATCATTTGGCAAGGTCAAGATCACAAAAGGCTGAGACAAAGATGTACAGTGTGAATCTTACCTCCTCTTCCCTTCTTGCCTGCTGTTGGGATCCTCCCGGGTCAGCATACACCTCCTCCTCTGCTAACAAAGCATAATCGAGACATCAAAACAACTTCCTACAGTTAACAAAATTTCAGCGAGTGCAAAGAGCAAAGTTATGATACCTTTCAACACAAACACAGAGTAAGGAAAGTGGACACACTGCAAGATGTGCTGCGTCTTACCTGCACGTCAGGGATTGACCGCAGTGCATCACAGAACTGCTGCCTACTGGTGACGGTCTGCTCTTCTTCCACGCAACCAGGCCAGTCCAACCCCGTACCTGTTAAAAAAGATGTCCACAGGTCAAACCCCAAGAAGCACTCCCAAAACAAGGACCACAGAATAAACCGTGTACACCGATTGCGCATCCGCTTACCTTCAACGCCGGAGATGGCCGCAGTAGGTCCCTGAACTCTGCGCACTTCCTCTGGCAGGCCGCAGTCTACTAATCATCTGGGAATCCACAACAGCCTAACCCTGACCTGTTGACACCAAAGATGGAGAAGTCAAAAAAGTGTGCCAAGAGTGAAAGAGTCAAAATGAAGAAAGTTCACAGAGGGCGAGGCGTGCACAAAGTATCTTACCGTCCCTGGGTTGGCAGACTCCTCTTCAAAGGACTGGGAACAGAGGGCTGCATCACACCGCATATCTACAGTAAAAAGAGAAGACATCAAGAGATCACAGTCTTCATCAAGCGAGATGAGGAAAAGATAAATCAACACAGTAAATTCAGGTGGGACACCAATCTTACCCTCTCTTCCATGTGCGGTCGCAGTCGATCCTTGCTACCCAGAATGCTGCTGAATGTCTCGGTGGGATCGACGCTCCTGAAAACACAGAAAATCAGGAGGTCAAAAGAAGGTCAATAGCTGCTATGATCAAGTTATAATGCAAAACAGGAAACCACATGTGCTACAAAAGCAGCCCTTTACTCACCGCCTTGGCAAATGTAAGCCGCTAGACAAAGCTGGGCAATGGGCTCCTTCCTCTTCATCTGTGGCTGGCTGGGTGGCTGGAGGCTGGCTGGGTGCTCCCGCGTTGTACCACGTCCGAGTGCCTGAAAATATACAACTGAGACGAGATTAGTAAAAATTCAAAACAATGAAACAAAGCACACAAATTCAAGGAAATTACAACAAAATCGATGTTAAGGGGTAGGGGATGGTTAGTGCTGTTAGATTAGGGAAGTGCACAGAAGACAGAGAAGAGACAGAAGGAAAGAAATAAATTCAAAATGCTTCTCTGTTAGGCTGCCTGGTAACGGCATTGGATCCTCTGGTGGGATGGGCTGGCTGGTGTGGGCTGCGCTGGATCCTGGGCTGGGCTGGGCTCTGCTGCTTGCTGCGCATCCTGTCAATTGGAAGTCAAGAGGTCAAATGCTGTTACGGTCAACATCATTTGGCAAGGTCAAGATCACAAAAGGCTGAGACAAAGATGTACAGTGTGAATCTTACCTCCTCTTCCCTTCTTGCCTGCTGTTGGGATCCTCCCGGGTCAGCATACACCTCCTCCTCTGCTAACAAAGCATAATCGAGACATCAAAACAACTTCCTACAGTTAACAAAATTTCAGCGAGTGCAAAGAGCAAAGTTATGATACCTTTCAACACAAACACAGAGTAAGGAAAGTGGACACACTGCAAGATGTGCTGCGTCTTACCTGCACGTCAGGGATTGACCGCAGTGCATCACAGAACTGCTGCCTACTGGTGACGGTCTGCTCTTCTTCCACGCAACCAGGCCAGTCCAACCCCGTACCTGTTAAAAAAGATGTCCACAGGTCAAACCCCAAGAAGCACTCCCAAAACAAGGACCACAGAATAAACCGTGTACACCGATTGCGCATCCGCTTACCTTCAACGCCGGAGATGGCCGCAGTAGGTCCCTGAACTCTGCGCACTTCCTCTGGCAGGCCGCAGTCTACTAATCATCTGGGAATCCACAACAGCCTAACCCTGACCTGTTGACACCAAAGATGGAGAAGTCAAAAAAGTGTGCCAAGAGTGAAAGAGTCAAAATGAAGAAAGTTCACAGAGGGCGAGGCGTGCACAAAGTATCTTACCGTCCCTGGGTTGGCAGACTCCTCTTCAAAGGACTGGGAACAGAGGGCTGCATCACACCGCATATCTACAGTAAAAAGAGAAGACATCAAGAGATCACAGTCTTCATCAAGCGAGATGAGGAAAAGATAAATCAACACAGTAAATTCAGGTGGGACACCAATCTTACCCTCTCTTCCATGTGCGGTCGCAGTCGATCCTTGCTACCCAGAATGCTGCTGAATGTCTCGGTGGGATCGACGCTCCTGAAAACACAGAAAATCAGGAGGTCAAAAGAAGGTCAATAGCTGCTATGATCAAGTTATAATGCAAAACAGGAAACCACATGTGCTACAAAAGCAGCCCTTTACTCACCGCCTTGGCAAATGTAAGCCGCTAGACAAAGCTGGGCAATGGGCTCCTTCCTCTTCATCTGTGGCTGGCTGGGTGGCTGGAGGCTGGCTGGGTGCTCCCGCGTTGTACCACGTCCGAGTGCCTGAAAATATACAACTGAGACGAGATTAGTAAAAATTCAAAACAATGAAACAAAGCACACAAATTCAAGGAAATTACAACAAAATCGATGTTAAGGGGTAGGGGATGGTTAGTGCTGTTAGATTAGGGAAGTGCACAGAAGACAGAGAAGAGACAGAAGGAAAGAAATAAATTCAAAATGCTTCTCTGTTAGGCTGCCTGGTAACCGCATTGGATCCTCTGGTGGGATGGGCTGGCTGGTGTGGGCTGCGCTGGATCCTGGGCTGGGCTGGGCTCTGCTGCTTGCTGCGCATCCTGTCAATTGGAAGTCAAGAGGTCAAATGCTGTTACGGTCAACATCATTTGGCAAGGTCAAGATCACAAAAGGCTGAGACAAAGATGTACAGTGTGAATCTTACCTCCTCTTCCCTTCTTGCCTGCTGTTGGGATCCTCCCGGGTCAGCATACACCTCCTCCTCTGCTAACAAAGCATAATCGAGACATCAAAACAACTTCCTACAGTTAACAAAATTTCAGCGAGTGCAAAGAGCAAAGTTATGATACCTTTCAACACAAACACAGAGTAAGGAAAGTGGACACACTGCAAGATGTGCTGCGTCTTACCTGCACGTCAGGGATTGACCGCAGTGCATCACAGAACTGCTGCCTACTGGTGACGGTCTGCTCTTCTTCCACGCAACCAGGCCAGTCCAACCCCGTACCTGTTAAAAAAGATGTCCACAGGTCAAACCTCAAGAAGTACTCCCAAAACAAGGACCACAGAATAAACCGTGTTCACTGACTGCGCATCCGCTTACCTTGAACGCCGGAGATGGCCGCAGTACGTCCCTGAACTCTGCTCACTTTCTCTGGCAGGCCGCAGTCTACTAATCATCTGGGAATCCACAACAGCCTTACCCTGACCTAATGACATCAAAGATGGAGAAGTCAAAAAGTGTGCGAAGACTGAAAGAACAAGAAATCTGTGAGCGAATGCTCACTAGTAATACCCCTGCTCTGATGTAAATAAACACTAGCTATCATGTTAATATACACAAGTTCAATTACAGGCAGATTCGCAGGAAAATATGAAGCTGACATCAGATTCATATCAAAATTAATCCCACCATATGCCATGCCTCAACAAACAGTGTACTAAAACTTCAAGCATCTCCCATACGGAAAAAAAGGGCAAACAAACTACTATAACAAATTACTAACAAACCACTATGGTTTGAAAGTAGTTTAATAGTATAGCAAATCACATGCAAATGAGCTAACAAACTATACTCTAACAAACTACTATCAAACCACTCTTAACAAACTACTATCAAACCACTCTAACAAACTACTATCAAACCACTCTTACAAACTACTATCAAACCATTATAACAAACTACTATCAAACCACGCTAACAAACTACTATCAAACCACTCTAACAAACTACTAACAAATCACTGGTAACAAATCCATCAGCAGAAACACTATAGATTTGAATTTTCCTTAAATTTACAAATCCACAAGTCTTTGAAAACACCTAAAAGAATCACATTTTGAAATATTCAACAAGTCTTGTTTCAGAGTATTTAAATTCCAGGATTCACAAGTTTAGCCAATGCAAGTGCAACATTCCAACATGTTCCCTTTTATTTAGGAGATGCAATTCCAAGTCAATGTCCATGTACTTATCACATATTCTCCTTCATGTTGTGTACATCTTCATAGTATTTTTCACCAAAAAAATGTTCTTCAAGCTGATGATCGACATTTAAATATTCCCTGCTTCAATCGGCATGGAAAATGCTGCAATATTTCCTTTTTTCTGGCCTCATTGCAACTTTGAAAAACATCGATCTGTATTGTCTTATTTTCAAGTATACTTCCCATAATCCAATGCATAACTGATCTAAACTAGTATAGGAATTACAGGTCAATCTGAAAATAAATAAAAACCCAAAGCTAGTATAAAAGCATACGCATCCACATTCACAGAAGGTTATTTACTTCATGACAAGCATTAAATACCTCTTCTGTATCTAGATCCATCTTTTAATAATGTTAATTGCTGTTTTTTCCAATCAGGGATCTTATAGAATGATGCTCACAATTTGAATGTCCCTTGATCACCAGTTCCTTTGTTTCTGACCTGCTTGGTGGTTTGAAAATTGGCGCAAATAGGCTAACACCGGATGTAAAGAGATAAGCTGTTCTTGGAAACTTCAACAATTCTAGATAATTCAACCCTAAACACGTCTGTAAAGTTATTTCCCATGTGGTTAGATGCAAATGCTATACTAATAAAACACTGTTGCAAGATACCAAGTCTAACAAACTATAAAGAAATCACAATCACCAGAAATGAAAGACTAACAAACCACTGCAGCTATTTTTAGAAAAAGTGGTTTGTTAGTGGTTCATTGAATGCTATACTATCAAACTACTTTAACAAACCACAAATATATAGTTTGTTGGTAGTTTGTTGATGGTTTAATAGTAGTTTGTTAAAAATCTTTTCCGTTTGGGCTGCTATGAATACTTAATGAGAAAACTGCAATGAAGATTTGTTATATATGAAATGGACAGATGCACAGACAAACAGGAAGTTGACATCAGATTTTCACAAAAATGTATCCCACCATATGGCATGCCTCAGAAAAGATTATGTTAAAATTTCAAGCATCTGCGATGAGTAATTGCTGAAAAAACTGAGACGAAAAATTGTTATGCATGAAACGGACAGATGCACAGACAAACAGGAAGTTGACATCGGATTTGCACAAAAATGTATCCCTCAATATGGCATGCCTCAGAGAAGATTGTGTTAAAATTTCAAGCATCTACAATGAGTAATTGCTGAGAAAACTGTGATGAAAATTTTTTACGGACAGACACAAGGACACACAGACGGATGGACAGCTAGACAGACAGAAAGACAGACACATAAGAGTAAAACAGTATACCCCCTCTCCTTCGGAGCAGGGGTATAATTAAAATGAAGAAAATTCACAGAGGGTGAGGCACGCACAAAGTATCTTACCGTCCCTGGGTTGGCAGACTCCTCTTCAAAGGACTGGGAACAGAGGGTTGCATCACACTGCATATCTACAGTAACAAGAGGCCCAAGGGCCTTGAATCGCTCTTCTGATAAGTTGTACAATCTATCACTTCTATTAGAAGCCTCCAACTCTGTTTGTATCATAAGACCCAAAATGCATCAACTTACAAAGTTTGATAATATTTAGCCAGTTAAGACTGAAGATATTATAATATAATTATAAAATACCATAAGTAGGTCACAGTGACCTACCTTTTGATTGAATATTTCTGAAGACTCAAGATACATTAATTGACAAAGACTGATGATTCTAATTAAATCAGTACCTGAGATATTCAAAAGCAGGTCACCATGACCTACTTTTCGGTCGACATTCTCTGAATACCCAAGATGCATCATCTGACAAAGTTTGACGATTCTAAGCCAATAAGTACCAGATAATTAAATATAGCCTTCAAATGTTAAAAGTAGGTCACGGTGACCTACTTTTTGATCGACGTTATTCAAAAACCCATAATGCCTAAATTGACAAAATTTGATGATTCTAAGCCAATAAGTATCTGAGATATTCAAAATTAGGTCACCATGACCTACTTCTTGATGGACATTTAATGAAACCCTAAGATGCCTCAACTGACAAAGTTTGATAATTCCGAGCCAATAAGTACCAGATATAATTAAATATAGCCATAAAATGTCAAAAGTAGGTCACAGTGACCTAGTTTTTGGTTGACGTTCTCCGAAAACCCAAGGTGCCTAAACTGACAAAGTTTGATGATTCTAAGCTTATACGTACCTGGGATATTCAAAAGTAGGTCACAGTGACCTATTTTTTGGTCGACATTCTCTGAAAACCAAAGATGCCTCAACTGACAAAGTTTGATGATTCTTAGGCAATAAGTGACTCAGATACTTAAATATAGCCATAAAATGTCAAAAGTAGGTCACTGTGACCTACTTTTTGATCGACGTTCTCCGAAAACCCAAGATGCATCAACAGACAAAGTTTGATGATTTTAGGTCAATAAGTACCAGAGATACTAAATTATAGTCACAAAATGTCAAAAGTAGGTCACTATGACCTACTTTTTGGTCGTCACTCTCCGAAAACCCAAGATGCATCAACTCACAAAGTTTGATGATTCTAAGCCAATAAGTACCGGATATACTTAAATAAAGCCATAAAATGTCAAAAGTAGGTCACCGTGACCTACTTTTAGGTCGTCACTCTCCGAAAACCAAATATGCATGGACTCACAAAGTTTGATGATTATAAGCCAATAAATACCTAAGATACTTAAATATACCCATAAAATGTCAAAAGTAGGTCATCGTGACCTACATTTTGGTCGACATTTTTCAAAGACCCAAGATGCATCTACTGACCAAGTTTGATGATCGTAGGTCTGAAGGTAATCAAAATATGAGTTTTAAACAATTTGAAAACAAATGTCGGCAAAATTCAAAAAGTAGGTCACAGTGACCTACTTTTTCATAAATATGTTTTAAGGTCCCAAGATGCATCAAAGTACAAGATTTGATGATTCTAAACCTCCTAGTGTCTGAAATAATGGGATTTAATGTTTTTAAAAGGATAAGTCATAAAGTTCAAAAAGTAGGTCATGGTGACCTACTTTTAAGTTGACATTGTTTGAGGACCCAAGATGCATCAACTGACAAAATTTGATGATCATAGGCCTTAAAGTGTCCAAAATATGCCTTCAAATCAATTTGAAAACAAATCCCCGCAAAATTTAAAAAGTAGGTCACCGTGACCTACTTTTGAGTTAACATGATGTGAAGTCGTAAGATGCATCAACTTACATGATTTGATGGTCCTAGTTCTTATAGTAAGCAAAATATACACGTTTTTATTAATTGTAAATTTAGGTCATTTTTGAAGTGACCTTGAGACCACGCCCTTTGCCCCAGGGTTATTCCCCGTGCAAATTTTAATCTTCAACATATCCTAATCCTTGTATGTAAGTTTGGTGAAAATCTGCCAGGTGTTTATGGAGAAGAAGAATTTTTAGCAACCAGTACTTTTGGTTTTGTTTTCCTGATTATCTCCCCTTGTTTAAGGGTCCCAACCCTTATTTTAGTAATAAAATTTACAATTGAAATTGGTTCAGGGGTTTCAGAGAAGAAGCCGAAAATGTTCAAATGTTAACGCACATCGCAAGACAAATGACGACGGACGAAAACGGATAGCAATAGGTCACCTGAGTTTACTCAGGTGACCTAAAAATTCAAGTGAAAAAATTACTTACCAATTTGTACCACATTGGCTGCTGAATAGAGATGGGAAATGGACTCGTCATCTCGTCTTCTTCTGTTGGTCGACCCTGCTCCTCCATCGTTGTTCCTCTTCCCAGTCCCTGAAAGTATAAAACTGGCAGAAGATTAGGAAAACTCCAAAACAATGTAACAAGTCACCAAAATTCAAGTGAAAAAAAATCAGTACAACACAATTACTTGAAAAATCATAAAACAATGACATTTGTTCAGCAAGACCAGTGAGGGGGAAAGGGAAGGTGGTGGTTAGTTATGTTAGAGTCAGCAGAGGTATGGGAAAGAAAAGTGAAAATCAAAAATACTTCCATATAAGCTTCCTTTGCTGTTGCTGTGGCTCCTAGTGATGTTTCATCTGAACTGTGTCAGCATCTCTGCTTCCTGTCAATTGAAAGTCAAGAGGTCAAAGCCTGACAAAGCCAACATCAATTAGAAAGCCAAAATATTGGGAATAAGTGCAGAGAGGAAAAGTATGAATCTTACTGCACTTTCAGCTCATGAATGCTGTCAAATGGAAGAAGGACTGCTCCTCAATTCAGGATCCTGGGCAGCCTCAACTTTCTTCTGCTTAAAAAGAGAAAACAGACACATAAGAGGGGATTCACTTTCATTTCCTAACAAGTAACAAACTTCATGTAAATAATATGCAATTTGTTACTTACCACTTTGGGCCATGTTGACTGCTGTATATAGCTTGGAAATGGACTTGTCATCTGGAGTTCTGTTGGTCGACCTTGCTCCTCCATCGTTGTTCCTCTTCTTAGTCCCTGAAAGTATAAAACTGGCAGAAGATTAGTAAAACTTCAAAACAATGCAACAAATCACAAAAATTTAAGTGAAAAAAAATCAGTACAACACAATTACTTGAAAAATCATAAAACAATGACATTTATTCAGCAAGACCAGTGAGGGGGAAAGGGAAGGTGGTGGTTAGTTATGTTAGAGTCAGCAGAGGTAGGGGAAAGAAAAGTGAAAATCAAAAATACTTCCATATAAGCTTCCTTGGCTGTTGCTGCGGCTCCTGGTGATGTTCCTTCTGAACTGTCTCAGCATCTCTGCTACCTGTCAATTGAAAGTCAAGAGGTCAAAGCCTGACAAATCCAACAAAGAAATACCTTTTACTTAAAAGTTTCTCTGAAATTGCTCTGAGTACAAGTTTAAGAACACAGAAAATTAAACAAATCTCATCTTGACAAATGCTATTTGTAAATAGAGCAAATATTGCACCATATTTTTTTCTAGTTTTTTTTTAAAGTTTGATCAGGGTAGGACTTATAATTACCTGGGACTAAACCTGCTCAGAAAACTTTAAACTCTTTACTAATCAAGAAAACTTCTGTCAGTTCAAATGAACAATATAAGTCTATCCTTACATGCATCTTCCATGCAAGATTAATCATATCGGGCCATAAATTTACTACTCCAATAACATTCCCATGGTGGGTCAGATTTGGACTTCAAAGCAAGTCTAGAGGTGTCTATCCCTATATCCATGCTAATTTGGTAAAAGTATAGATAAAATTCACTCAAATGTCGGTCATATTCAGCATCTGAAGCAGGCTTGGTAGTATACATTCTTACATGCTTCAAAAAGCAAGCTTAGTTCAAGTTAGGCCCTGCTCAATAAACAAACCTGATCACTCATCTAGTATATCTAGGTCAGACCCAGCATCTGAAGCAAGTGAGGTATTGTGCATCTCTAGATTCACCATCCATGCAAGTTTGGTCCAGGTAGGACTTAAAGTTACTTGAACATGGACTTTCTCCAAAAACTTGACTGAGGCACAAACGCTAACCCTGAACCAATGCCAATGTATAGCAACACCACTTCTTGACCTTGTTGAGGTGAGCTAAAAAGTGAATTCAAGATCAAGTTCATGGTAAAAAAAAAATACTCTTGCATTTGAATATCCTTTATCAATACCTCTAATTTTATTCTGATCATTCATCAGGTAAATATAAGTTATATTAATATGAACTTGCTCTAAAGATTTTGACCCATTCACTCATCCAGGTTGGATGTAGGTTGTGTATCCAGCATCTCAAACAAGCCTGGTAATGGATCCATTCAAGATTGGTCAATATAGGCCTTATAGTTACTTGGGAATGAGACCAGCTCCCAAACCTTGAACCTAGTCACTCATACTGAAAATAAAGACCTGATTATGCATCCAAAGTAAGCCTGGTAGTGTGCATATACATTTAGATGTACTATTCCTTTAAGTTTGGTCCAAATTCTTGAAAATGAGACAAGTTACAAAACATTAACCTGATCATTCTTTTCCTGAAATTGCAGCCTCTGATACCTTGATTGGTACAATGAAACATACTTTAGCTTTTAAAAAAATCAATAGGCAGTGCTTTTCCATTTGAGAAAAGTAACATTTAGTTGCAATTGGTAACATATCCTATTATTTTGTCATTTTTCTTACATACAATAAATTTAAAAAATTGTTTATTTTTTATTTGCAAGGTACTCGTGACTTATTTTACATTCAGTCAATCAGTATACGGAGCATGATGATCTGATGATGCCATGTAGTAACATTGGAACAGAAAACAGACTCCCTGCAAACCCTTTTAAAAACCCTGGTAGTAAACATATTTTGCGTTCTCAATACACAGCTGATGCCTCGGGATCTGAATCCTCAAACTTATAATAGGCATGATTCATTTTCAAAATGTAACATGGATTATTCACCATTTCGTGTCAGTTAAATTATTTAACCAGTAGATAATCTCTTTCCGCAGCTTTAAAATGCTTTATCAACACATACATCTGAATCTGACAATTGCTATTTCAAATATTTTTTTCCAGGGAATAAACAACAATTATAACAAGCTCACCTAACCGTTCTGATCACTGACGCCATTTACACAATTTGATGTTCGCGCCACATGTCATAATTTTAAACTTAAAATTTCGATCCCGATGCAAATATCAATTAATTTTAATAGAACAATTTTAGCAATTCATCTTGAATATTTTCTACCTCTAAGCAGGATAAAAATATTTATGCCTCTAGTCCGTCTTGTTTGTATATAAGAGCCGTTACTAGGTTTCTGGAAAAAAAGTAGGGGGGGGGAAGCTAAAAAAAATAATATGCGTTTTCGTTTCATTTTCTTGCTTATTTTGATGGATTCTGGTGTATTTTCAGGATATGAAAAACTTCTTTTCCAAAAGCCTTTTTTGTATTTAAATGTATATTTGCAAGATTTTATGCGATTAATCCCCCCCCCCCTATTTTTTCTTTGTAACTATATCCCACAGTACAGTTATATCTACAGTAATGGTGCTTTGCGAAAATGGTTCCAAAGCAAATTGTTGAAAAGTTCACGTGAATGCGCAGTCAATGAATGCATACTAAAACAATCAAATTAGGTACACATGTACATGTAATCCATAAACGTGCAATTTTCCCCTAAACTGCCGACTATAATTTGCGTCACTTGTAAAACTATATTTACCTGTCTGAGAAGAATTTGGAGTTGTTTAATTTGACCATAACCAGTCTGATAAGTTTGAAAATGGCGGGGGTTTCAGAAATTAACATATGACCTTTTTTCAGAGAAATTGAACAAATTCTTAAATATTTTTTATTACAACAGCTTCAGAATATTTACCTCAATTCTTGATCATCTCTACACCCCTGTAAAGCATTTTCTACTGAAAAATTATATATAAACTGATTGGAAAGTCTGCAGCGCATATACCTGCCTGGTATTGTTTGTTACTGCTTTGTGAATTCAATTGTGAACATTGGTCAAAGATCATGATCACGTGATTTAATTACGTATTCATTAATCCACCGCGGTCGTTTGTGTGTATAATCTAAGACCGCGAGTAAACACTCCTGTTACGTGTATATTGCAAATTTATATCAGGGTACTCCAGTCCTAAGGTTCTGAAAATCAGGCATTGACTAATATTGAAAATGTTCAAAAAATGTCTCTGAATTCTTAAAGTAATAATGTGTCACTCACAATAATTCTTCAAATTCATCATTAAAGTTAATCATATTTTATAAGGAAAATTAGTCAATCTCAAATAATTTTTCAGGAAATATGTATATCAAAACGTCTACTATGCATTTTCAAATTCAAATTTGATCAACAAACACGTTTTAGAAGTATTTTTGATTATAAGTATCCAGGTTTTTGAAGAAGTTGCACAATTTTTATACCTATATATAATTAGGTTCTTTAGTTTCTTCTATCACTTTGATCATTTTACAATGCGTAGCGAATAAAGATTTTCCTCTCATTCAAAACACGTGCACCATAAATCACTTCTAATTCCATATTAAAAGAACCTCAATTATTACTTTGAATATTAGCTGCAGAACTGTAGCTCTCCCAAAAAATATATTGACAGACCGGTCTGTCAATTTATTTTTTTCGGAGAGCTACAGTTCTGAAGCTATTTGAATATGTAATTTTAAAAACTTTATAATTAAAGGGGCAAGATTTTCGACTTTATACAAGACCTTTCTGAAAACTTCAAAGAACCTTGAAGCACATTGAGAGGTATAAAATGAAAATTGTTGCAAGAAAAGATTTACTTTCCAGCTTTATTTTGACACTTTTTAATTAAAAAAATTATATAAATTAGAGTCACCCTTACTGGCTGAGGATCGGATCCTCTTCCTCGCCTTGTTCTCCCATCTTCTTCATCTGACATTTAAACAAAATTCAAAACGTAACTATCATCTACATTTATACAGCGATGCCTTGCTTACATGTTCTTCATTTATATCCTTTATGAAGAGTCCGTTCATGAGTTGCTTGGTTTGGGAGAAGGGGAGGGGGGGGGGTTATAAATTTGGTAACGAAAAGACTCCGGATGGCTGAAAATCCTAAATTTCCAAGACAGTTTTGGTTCATTTTGGGACAAATTTCAGCAACTTTTTTCTTATAATCCAGCTTATTGATTGCATATTGATCATCTCGATGATTTCTCCCTCATATGTATGGAGAAGCCATCACTTGCCGGTGGAGAACTGTTATTTTTTGTCCTATACTCGACACTTAGGGCCATTGAACAGGGAGGTATCTTTTTCGTACCAGCACCTAATGCGACACGGGACCTCGGTTTATGCGGTTTCATCCGAAGGACCGGTTCCACGTCTCACAGTGGGATTCGAACCCGTGACGTAAGGATCAACCCCTTACGTCGCGACTCCAGAGCAGACGCTCTAACCACTGCAAATACGCAGGCGACCAGACTTCTTTTTAAAAAATCTTTTAAACGGCCATGCAAAAATTATTTACAATACCAATAATACACACCCGCCTTTTGTTGATTTCACAAAGAAAGTGTATATATTATTTTATCAAACTGTTAAGAATTTTTAAAAACTTCATTGATTAGATCACCATACACGATTATATGACTTTCAGTTCTATTCACAGGTGTTAAAGAACAGGATTCTCTGATATTCCTTCGATTTATGATATTTATGTAAAAGAAAACTTTTATGTAAAAGCCACGGGGGTGGAAACAACTTTTTTCAATGCCAATCTCTTTCAGTACCAATTTTTCGTATCCAACACTACATTTCCCTTATATCAATTTCCTGTAGTATACTGTAGTATAAAGTTGGGGGGGGGGGGGGCAACCAGCCTGTCACTGCACAATTCCAAAAGTAAAAGTATTGTTGGGAAAAAAGTGGGGGGGGGGGCAGGCCCCCCAGTTGCTACGTGCCTGCACCAACTTTGTCATTAAATGCTTAATTGCACTAATGTTGTGATGCAATAAAATTTGGATTTTAGTGTACATTTTTAGAAAAACGAGCTTGTTTTTTGTTTTTTTTTTTTGGTTGAGGACCTTATTCAAAATTCAGTTCCTATAGACCTATAAGAACATCACTCTTTGCATGCAATACAAACACTTTGATAAGCTTTACTTTCGTGTTTTCTAAATGGTAATAGCATAATACAATTATGACAAATTTCTAAGGAAATTGTTTGTTGGTACATGTACTTGGCAAAAATAAATATTTCAAGTTGAACTAGGTTTTTACTGACCATAATATTTCAAGTTGAACTATGCTTTTACCGACCATGCACAGATCGAAATATACCGGAATGATCTCCCTTACTATGGAGTCTCCATTTTGCAAACAAATGGTTTCTGATCTGCAACTCTCCTCACTGGGTTGGTGAATATTTGATGTAAATCACAGATTTTTATTATTTTGGGGCCAGACAATTACATTTAAAAGGGCAATAAAAAATCTATTATAAAATTAAGTTCATGAACATCTTTATTTCAGTATTCTATGAACATTTAATAATTTAATCTGTAACAAAGAATATAATTACAATGTATATAATTACAAGTAAAATTGTTCTTATCATTTCTATACACATAAATATTCTTTTCATACATAAATATTCTGTAATTAAATTATTATCACCAATATCATATTCAACAAATGAAACCACTATCAGGTAATATGAATTCCCCAAACTGTGTTGCTGATTCGAAGAACTATCGCATGGAAGTTGATATCAGCAAGTTTATCTGAAAAAAGAAACAAAATAGAATGAATAAAATGCGAAATTGAGTTATAGAGCTGAACCACAATAATGAAAATGTGGGTTACAATATGAAGTGATGTTTTAAACATTTTTATTTTCACAAAGGGCGCTGATACTATGAAGGATAAAGGGGGCTCCGAAATCTTGAAAATCAAGGGGAAAAAAGACATTTCCACTAAAAACGCTGGCAACACTAACAAGAAAACATGTACACTCTATCCTGGTGAGTGGTCACACAAGAAAAAGTCTTTAAAACTATGCCTTTAAAAAAAATTAATAAATATTCTGTTTCATTGGACTCAACAATTTACGTAAAATTTTCAATTACATGTATTTCATAACTTAAAAAGATACACAGGGGTAATCTGTATTGATTGTATGCTGTTTAACGTCCCTCTTGAGAATTTTTCACTCATATGGAGACGTCACCACTTGCCGGTGGAGAGCTACAAATTTTGTCCTATGCTCTGCACTCAGGGCCATTGAGCAGTGAGGAATCTTTTTCATGCTAGCACCTAGTAGGGGTGGGACGATACACAGATCTTGTGATACGATACGTATCTCGATATATTGGCACGATACGATACATATCTCGATATTTTGATAAATTATAAAACTATTTTAAAAAATTAGTATTTTATTTCATTTCTTGTCTTGTCATTCAATCAACATGATAAATTATAAAACTATTCAAAAGAATAAGTATTTTATTTCATTTTTTGCCTTGACATTAAATCAACAAATTATTTTATATAAAATCATGTGTGCTTTGAAATTAATACTTGAAGTTCATCAATATCATTCACTAAAACTTTATAAAAACAATAATACATGTACATATTATTATTACAAATTCCTTTTATGAAGTTGTTTACAAATAGTTGACATCAGAGAACACTGACCATTTAAAAACATCACATTTACATTTTTATTAATTGCTGAAAGTCTGTAGCAAAGCTGAGATTACAAAAAAAATATGAGATGGACTAACAATTAATAATATCAAATACTCTGGAAACGATGCTTTCTGTGTAGAGCACGCATTACATACTGAACTTTTCTTGTCCAATCTTCCGAGGCTGCTTAAAAGTGAAAACATTTTACCCCTAAACAACGACTTATTAGTTCTAAAGTGTGTTTTCAATAATCAACATCATCTTTTCGCTTCGTACAAGCCGCGATATTTGAATGCTTGTATCGTAAATCGTATCTTAGAGGAAAATATCGATATGTATCGATGTATCAGTATATCGTCCCACCCCTAGCACCTAGTGTGACACAGGACCTCCATTTATACAGTCTCATCCGAAGTACCAGCCTCCACGTCCCACTCTAACCACTGCGCCACATGGGCGACCCATCTGTACTGAGAGTGAGGATTACCTGTTCTGGGCTAGGATTGGCCACAATCTGTTTATCTTCTTCAGTGTAATTTTCTGACAAAATCTGGGACAATTGCTGGAATGCCGCCTGAATGTTCACCTACAATATCAAGCACAAAGAATACTAATAAATAAAAACACATATACATCAAAACAGCTTCTCCTAATTTTCAAACATATATCTTTTGTCCTAACACTTCGCATTAATTAAAGAGGAACATGCAAAGTGAAACTGTCATTTTGTTTGCAATTTTTATTTAGTTTATGAATTAAACTATACTATCATTATATGACTAATAGAGCCCAACCCACGTACCTCTTGAACCCCCTAGCCTAGTCCCATAAATTTTGTAATTTAGAAGGAGGACTAAATGCTTATTACAAGTTTGACTGCTTGATGTCCCGTAGAGAGAAAGATTTTTAAAAATTGCATTAATTTTGATTGTTGTATGGTTTATTTCCAAAACATGAGGCCCCATCTTGTTGAAATACTGAAGTTTACCTATGTGCGTGTAAGCCTTGATAAAATTAGATACCTTTATTGGTTTAAAAAGAATGGTTTCTGTATCTTTGTTTGCAAGATAGAGCTGCATGCTTTTATGTATGGTGGGCAGACGAGACTTGATGTTTTTGTACGTCTCTGATACGACATCATGTAATTTTTCTGGTGTCGCAAATGGCTGTTGCCGCAGAGTTACGCTTTTGATTCCTTCCTCCTGTTTCATGTTTATAACAACAGATGCCTAAAAATAAAAACTGGAAAAATTAATTTATGTGTTTTGGGTCATAAATCTTCTTAAACTACTATAAGGCTTTTAATGAACTCAAAGTGGTATTTTAGCCCTCAATCAATGTACAATGTACATCTTATTTTCAAATACAATGCAATCTACAGTCTTCAGTAATAAACATCTGATATTAACTCTGCACAAATGTATTCTAATTTCAAATTTATTAGCACTTACCCTTGATAGGAAAGTTTTGAGAGGTTCTGTAAAGGTGTCTGACATATGATGTATAAATTCTTCACAGGTAATTTTCAGTTCATAATCCACATCTTTCTTGGAATCCACAAAATGCTCCATTACATGAGGCGTGCCCTGAGCAAAATAAAAAATATTACTGTGGGTACTTCACATTATCAAACAAAAAATCAAGTCAGTTTTCTCTCAAAGTACATGTAGTATCAATACTTTATATCATAAAATTTTTATTTTTACAATTTTATTCTGTCTTTAAAAGAGTGTAAAAATTAAATAGCAAAAACAAAAAAAAGAAATGTTTTCTATAGCATACTGGTAAGTTAATATTTGTTTAACTCCATTGCATATACAGACCTCTAAGATAAAGTGAAGCAGGGAGTTGTTACTGTTAAACGTGAACATCTTTGAACTGTTCTGAATCAAGCCTTTTGCTGCATCTGTAAGTATATAATATATGGCTGTCTGATTGCCAAATTCCAATAAAAATTAATTTCATAATATATCAGTATATCTGATTGTAATTCAGCAATAAATCAGGTTTTACATATAACTGCAAGCATGTTTTTAAGAATCTTCGTTAAATTAAAAATTTTTGATATATATGTTTATTATTTGGTTTTACATGTACACAAGTTTGAAATTGCAGTGTCAGGTACTCCTAATATAATGTTAAATTGCACCTTTACCTATGCCTTAGCCATATTTTATACATCTTTCTTCATGAAAAATAAGGACACTTTCTATAACTTTAAATTTTCCATAGAAATGGGATTGCATAGAATTTAGGATATAATTTTCAGCGTATGTTCACAAGTGGATTTCCCAAAATATAATTTTGCATCTAGACAGGAATGTTCCATACATATAACAGTGAAATATCTGTTATGACCAGACTGCATAAATGTAACATACAATCTCAACAGTTCATGCAATATTGACAGAGACCTTGAGAATTAAAGGGGACACAATCCCTGATAAGACAGATAAAGGGAGACAATTTATAACATATGACACATCATGCACTTGTACCCAGTAATATTTCTCCGAGAAAGAACAATGGACGAATGAACAGATATATATGTACATGTAATTTGTCTCACTGAAATGAACCATATACCAAGGACAACATTTGAAAACATGAATGGGTGATAAAGTACCTTTCATTTTGCCAAAGTCTGCAAAAAACCTTGTGTTATAATCCTCCAAAAATATCTAGCGTTCTATGAAAAATCTAGAAATAGTAACTAAAACTTTAAGAAGATTTATTGTTCCTACCCATGAAGAGATAATTCTTTACATATGTAATAGAAGGATGCATAATATTTAGTGTATTGTTTCATTGTAGTTGCTACCTCAATGAAGAACCCATGCATTTAACCCAGCCTAACTCAAACAAATATTCATATCTGTATGCTATTTATTTACCTTTCAATTTGCTAAAGTCCAATGATGTTTCTCTAATAGAGAAATCAGTTTGGAAAGGAGCAATCTGTTCTCGAAGGATCAAAAGGTGTTTTATCAGAAATAGCTGTCCATCCATCAGTGTCTGTCAACAAAATAAAAATAAAATTCTGGTATTTGAATGAATTCTGAAATGCAGTCAACAAAACTTTAAATGTTGCATGAAATTTGTTTTCAAACAGAACATGGACATCACACTGTTTCTTACTTTAGCCATATTAAAAAAATTGCAAAAAAATTTGAGTGCTAGTGTAAAAGTAATGTGTTAGGGCTTCTACCTTCCTCTTGGTAATTCCTTCCTTTGCTATTTTTAGAGACTGGATGCAGGACTGCAGGGCTTCCTGAGAAAGTCCTTGAAATGTGGTTTTCTGCAAGAACATTGACAACTCAAATTTTTTTCATCTTTTAGCATTGAGTATTTATAACAGAATTGAACATGCAATGTATATTTACAGTAGACTTGGACATTCTCATTTACATGTACATGAACTGATTTATATTCATAATCAGATTAGTTACTTAAACAAAGCTGGCCAGTTTTATGTCAAACTTAAATGTCAAGGTCATTGTGTCAGAAATGTAGGTACCCAAAGAACGTTCTTGTCACATGAAATACACATGTCAAATATGAAAGCACAAGCTCCATCCATTTAAAATTTATGGTCACTGACCAGTGTCCTTCTCACTGAAGTATACATGTTATACCTGTTCAGTTACTAACATTAAGGACCCTCTCTACACCATTACAAAATGTTTTTTGGATATTGAGAAAAATATATTTTATAAAGGTGTTAGTATTGAGCTTATTTATATGATTTTCAACATATGGTGCGTACCACATTTACCAGGAAAAATAATCAAACACAACACAGTATCAGTGAATAGAAATCACTGTTGTTTACTTCCATAGATACATGTAAATAACATTATAAAATTTACCTTTAAAATTAATTTTTTACAAATTGTGTAATAAACTGTGAATTTCTAATCTGAATTTAGATAGGCGGATCACCCTAACTGCAAAAAAATACCATTTTATCAAATTTTAGTGTGCAAAAAGAGGGTTCTGAATACACCTTGGAGTTTGTAAAGAGTACTAGTGCTATAATACTATAACACCTGTACAGATACTTTCATCTATACACCTGTAAAGATACTTACATCAATACACCTGTACAGTTTGGTTCCAGTGTCCTATCTTTCACTGAAATCAAATGTACAATACAGTAAAACCTGTACAGTTTGGATAGAGTGACCAGTGTCCTTCTCACTGTTGGATTTTTCACATTCCGAAGGTCACGGATTTGGCAGGTACGAAGTTATCTTAAAAAAATTAGAGAATTTACCAAAGTACTGGCAAGGCACTATATAAATTTAATTAAAAGCAAATTTTACAAATTTCGGATATAACGAATTACGGATGTAAAGAAATATTAGTGCTATGAGAGGTCTTTCACAATAGAGTTTTTTGAATCAAATTATGAATGAAACTTAAGTTGGGTTCACCCATATTTCATGAAATCAAATGTACAATATACATGTACTAGTATTAAAGTTACAAAATAATTTATTTCAGCCATACACATTCACCCTGTTTTAGCTCTATTCATCAAGAAATTGCTGTATGATTTTATGAGTAACATTTAGTACCTGCTGGTTCTGCCTGATTTTTGCCTGCCTCTGTAAGCTCGGCCACCTCCTGACTGGTGCTGGAGGCATTGGACGCTGACCGGGAGTGACCCTTTAATGAGGAAGAGGAGGGGGTCCTAGTGTGTCCCTTGGTTTCCCCTGCTTTTATGCTCTCAGCAATACTCTGAAAAATGGGTGCAATAAATAGGACTAATAGGAAAACTTCACTAATTGATGATACAACTTGTTTCATGTAAAATGGAGTAATATTTATATTTCTACATGCCTTTGAGTTCAGAACTTACTGTGTGTTACTATCAAAAGAAATATTTTTAAAACTACATTAAACCAGCTATTATTCATAACAAATTTATTTACCGGTAGTGATTCATCTCATTCGAAAGCAACTGTTGATTTTTGCAATGAAATATCCTTCATAAGTACACAATGAAATAAATGGTTAGGGATGTAAAAAACATTTCCAAGCAAAAAATAATTATATACAAGACTCAAGGACATCTCATGCATAGTAATAAAAGTAAGTTTAGTATATTGGAGCCTACTCTAACTTCATTAACGGTCTGCAGTGTTCTTGCTTATTAGGGTAAATAATCAGCATTTATACCTGCATCATCTCCAGCTTTTCAGGATAAGCCAGGTCCCCTTGTGCAGCAGAATACTGCAGGATGTCGGATCGAATGTAAATATAAGTTCTGTAAACTAGACGCTCCTGCATGTCCATCAACATCTGTCGGCAGACATTACCAAAGGAGGACAACTCTTGAGCTAAAATCAAAATACAAAAAATTGAATAAATTTACTTCTTTCCATTTTTTATTATTTTTAAATATTTCACATAAAAAGTTATGAAAAAATATATATGCGTATATACATGTATGTGTAATTTATGTGAAGTAAGATTCATTACCATAGGCTTGTGCATGCTCTTCCAACATTTCAACTTTCATAATGGAACACAGTTCTGCTAAGGTTTCTAGATGGTTGACATGAATGATGAGTGGTCGAAAGACATCATAGAGGTTGTTGCATAGTCGTTCCAACATCTCGCTACAAGCATCAAGAATTGTTACCAGTACATGTAAATATTATTTATCAAGAAAATACTTGATGTAGTAAAACTGCTTTTCTCTATTAATGATATTCAAAATTGCAAAAAAAATATTGTGTAGAAATTTATTTGTCTCCCACCTTTGTTGGGGGTCTGGCTTATAAGAAATTTTGAGATGGACTTTTTCAATAAAATTTGCTGGATCTGCTATTCAAAGTCTCAAAAAAAATCTTTACATTTCATGCTTAGATACTTTTACTTCAATTCTGAAGTAAAAGTGTTTTATTTTTAATTGAATTATATAGATTCAGTCAGATTAAATTGACATTAAATGATGCAATAGTACTAACTCTAGGAGAGGAGAGTGCCTGGTAAAGAAATTATAATACAGCTGGTACTCATCCTCACAAACATGGACCATAAAGGCACAACCACTTCTCATCTGAAATAAAATAAATATAAAACAAGTGATAAAAAGCCAATTGTATAAGTTATAAAATTAAATAATTTTCAGATTTTGTGATAATTTTAAAGCTCCATTTATAAAAATCTTACTGACAGTATTTATAGCAAAAATACTGTTTACAGTTTAGGTGTTGTTTACAGCTTAGGCATTGTTTACAGTGTATGTTTTGTTTACTTTTCAGAACTCACCAGAGCACAGTGATCCCGAGCGTGTTTTGTGGCGAGATCATTGATAGTAGAACTAATACTGGGTCCTAACAGCTGTTCTCGTTGGGTGAAGTAACATTGCTGGCAGTCCACTAGAGCCTGGTTATATCTGATATAAAAGTTGACAAGACATTACAAACTAAATGACCAATGATTTATCATAGCAAGGATCAAAATATTGAAAAACATTTACCTGGTACCCCTAAATGTGCAATACATATACCGGTAAATGATATGAGTCACCTCAAAGACCATTTGGCACAGTATGGAGAAAAAAATGCCTTTCACTAAAATTAAGTTCATATAATACATTCTGTTGATATCATATTTATAATATTCCTTTTACATGTATAAGTAAACTTACTCAGGACTTTTATCCAATCGAATTTCTAACTGTTCTACAAGAGCCTTCACTCGAGGTGCATTAGCTCGAAATTTTCCATAAAACAAAGTAAATGCATTGTCACCAAGCTGGGTGGTATCCTATAAAAAAAAGTCCAAATACATGCACATACAGTTTATAAGTACTGTAATTTTACAACTAGTTAATAATAAATCCATCTACATGATAAAATCTTCAAAAGTTTACATAAACATAGGAAATCTTTTTTATTGGATCCTTAATACAAAGGTTTAATAGCCATACCTTTATACATGTGTTTTACCTTTTTCTCCTGCACCTGCCGGGTCGCAGATTGCAGAATGTTGATGACATGTGACTTCATGAGATTCAGGGCTCGAGACAAACACTGGTTTAATCTCGCCAGGTAGGTCTGTGACTCCTTATAATTTGGCTGCAAGACAATCCAGTAAACTTTGAATCAAAGTACAGTTTAACTTCATTATCTCAAACATTGATATCTTACATTACATGGATAAGCTGAAGCCCAAATCACTTTTTCTTTAGTTTAGATTATAACCAAAATGTCCTGAATCCTGCATATCATGAAATATTTTCTCTGTCAAATGGAGTTCAAGATGACAATAATTGACTATGTACATAACTGAAATTATATTTCTAAGTGTTTAAATTCTGGCTAAGACAAATATACCAGGTATATACCGGTACAATTTACAAAATAATATAGATGCATGTTTTACTAGCTGCTTACACTATTCTTTAGGTAAAGAATGCATTCATCTAGTCTGGACAGCATTGGGACAAAGGATTCATTTGTCACCATCAATGTTGGAGAGGCCAATTTCTAAACGAAGAAAATAATAATATAGAAACTAAACTAACACTAACACATTCTGATTATTTTATAACTTTCACACAAAAGTCATTTCACTAAACATCAATATACTGTACAATTGGAAACTTTTGGTAAAAAAGACTTCTTTTACATTTTAATTAATACAAGCATGCACTATTTTCAAAATCCCAGCATATGATGAAATCAACTTACACCGGAGATCCTGTCCAACTCATTGTAATATGAGAGTTTATTACTTATATTCTCAGCTGTGTTCATCAGTCTTGTCTGAAATGGAACAATTTGTTTAAAAATCTAAAATCACATCCTGCACATAATGATTTAGCCTCATGTTGCATGTGTACAGAGCAAAATAAGATGTAAAACAGAAATAATTCACTGAATATTGTGTTTATCAAATTCTTTAATTTGACCAAATAATAGTAGTATGAAATTCACCTGCTCGGCCAGTAGATGCTCACAAGCCTCATGGAGTGCATTGGTCTTGGTGGATACACTGACATACTGCTTCTGTAATCCTTCTAAATAGGTAAGGGCTGTGGTTACCTCCCCTAGTACTCCGTCACATTGGTCCTGGTAACCCTGTAACTCTTCTATATAGTGTCTGAAATGTCAGAAGTATATTATTCAATTGAATGCAAACATTAAACACGTAAAATGTAAAATATTTAGATAGGAATATTTAAAAAACTTACAGACCCTAAACCGTGCTACTACACCACTTGCACGGTACGGTTCGGTACGCTTTGTGACCGGAACGGTTCGCTTTGTGAACGGTACGGTACGCTTTGTGCACGGAACGGTTCGCTTTGTGCACGGAACGGTACGCTTTGTGCACGGAACGGTACGCTTTGTGGACGGTACGGTTCGCTTTATGCACGGAACGGTACGCTTTGTGGACGGTACGGTTCGCTTCTTGCACGGAACGGTACGCTTTGTGGACGGTACGCTTTGGGAAACGGTATGCAAATGAAGTGGGCGGAGCCTGTTAGCTTTGGTTCTTGATTGGCTGCTAATTTTACAATTTTATTTCCGTTATTACAGAATGTAATTTATTTATTATTCATATCAATTGAAGTAACAATGAGTTTCTATTTATTAGAGAAGTTTAAATGTTTTATTACATGTATGTTATTGTGTCGATCATAGTCTTGTATGCTATGTCTCGGTTTCAATTCTAAATATTAATTTACACTGCAGCAGTGATGGAGGAAATAAGAAAAAAATGAAAGGAAATAAACATCGTCCCACTGATCTTTTTCGCATTTGTAAATATATTGATATATAGAAGGTAAATATTTCCGTGCGTATTTTCTTACGTATGCCGAGGCTGCGTTTTAAAAAGAAAAAATATATACATGTACATAATATTCTTTTTTCATTTTAAAATATAGCTTTAACAGAACTGAATATATACTTGTTCTTTACATAATACTACACACGTATATAAATTATTTTTAATTGATTGATCTATAGAAAAAATATGACTATTCGCGCTTATATTTTTATTCTTAGTAATAAGAAATGTACATTGTTTCTTATTTTTAAAATTGTAGATCTGTCGGTAAATTGTTGATCTTGAATCAGGTAGATTTTGGGGGCGTTAACATAAAATTGGGTGTTTAAACATCTGCCTTAGAAGAGAAATATCAGTAGACAAAAACAAATTACATGTAATTAATAAAAAAAAAAAAATAAAGAAAAAGAATATAAAAATAATTTACAGGGCATAGAAGACTTGTTTGTCTGTTTTTTTTTTCTTTTTTCTTATGTAAATCTTTTTTCTTTTTTCTTATGTAAATCTTTAATTATTCTGAAAATCTTTGATTATTCTGAATTTAGATACGAAAATCGGAGCAGAAACTCGGAATCAATAAAATGACTTCCGGGCGTTTTTCTTGTAACAGAAAACATTTCTTTTCAGAAACTAGCATTATGTTTTCAAAAATCCTCTCAGTCCAAGTAATTATTTTAATAAGTTTTTCTTTATTTTAATAAGTAAATAAGTGTGTAAATACATGTACAATGTTGTGAATGAGAGAGAGAGAGAGAGAGAGAGAGAGAGAGAGAGAGAGAGAGAGAGAGATGCAACCCCTTGTTTCTTAATCTGTAAAAAAAATGTATTTATTCTCATTCTCCGTTTTATTTACATCGCCAAAGTCACATTTAATCAGTCTATGATGCTATTTAATTTCCACAACTTTCGTTCAAACTCAACCTATTTACAACTATTGCGCAATGCATTCGTTCTCGGCACATGCACGAAATCCTTGTGCATCACTTGTCAGTCAAAATCGCATGACGCTAGGTGACCCTGAGAGTCTGTTTACGCGGAAAGAATTTCTCTTGTGATTTGAAACATTCTTATGGTCAGTTCACACCTGTTTAAAAATACTGGGTCACAGCCAGAGGGCAGGGGTGCCGTGTGTTAACACACCTTTCAAATTATTTAGCTCTGACCACATTAAGTGTATATGCATTTTTAAAACTCACTCAACTGACATCCAGCGAAACTCATCTTCCCGGTTTCACCACAACACTGATTAGAAATATTCTTCCTAAAATATCCATTTCAGACGCAATTAGATAAGCATGAATCCCTTAATTATCATTTTACTTTTTAAAAAAAAATGTACAATAGCGTCACATAAATTCGCAGACTTTTGATGAGTTTTTAGTAGCTAATTAGTATCGCCTTCTAGAAAGGGGGGGGGGGTATCAAACAAAATGTGGCTTGAAAGAGGATTGAGAAAAATCATTGTCTTTTTTATTTTCATTTTATTTTTGTAAATTATCCTTTTCCAGACACAAATAAGCAGGTGTCCTGTAGATTATGATTTTTTTTTTTTTAATTTACAGCAACGTAACATTTTGCACACTTCTAAAGAACGTATAACCTGCTAATTCGTATTATTTTCATGAAAGGGGATGGGGGTACAGTGTAACAAACCTAATAATATCTATAATTTTTCGCAGATTGTTTTTTTTTTTTTTTTTTTGTATGCAGCTTGTAAGTTGATCACAATTTTATTAGTCAGATTATCATCTCTATCCGTTCAGTAGAAATCTTCCTATTTACTGCATGTAATAGTTTAATCCATATTTGACACAATTACCGATTTTCAGTGTAAGTCTAACTGCATCAATGATTCGCCGAGTAATTATCCGAGCAGAATTAATGTGCGAGTCTAATACGTTTTTTTTTAACTCTAGATAGTTCATATATGTTTTAAAATTCTTACAAAATTAATGATTAATTAGTACAATCACGCATCTGATATGAACTAGATATGAATGCACACTTACGGCAAAAAAGGATCACGTATCTGATTCAATGATTTAATTAAAATCTTAAGTCAAGAAAACCAGGAAATTAGTTTAAACATCTGCATAGTTTAACTACGAATATTTAAGTACAACAAATATTTCAAAAAGAAGTTGATTTAATTTGCTCAAATAAAGAAAATGAAAATATTTATTATCAGATAGGTAAAGGGGAACTGTGATACACCTTGTTACATGGTGTCCATGATCGCTGACATCAAGGATGCCGACATCGAGTTCGAGGTTCACGGTGCCACGTGTTTTGCGGGAAAATCCCGTGGTCTGTACTGTACCTTTGATCACAAACACAACGAGTTGATCTAATTTATAGCATATAAGGAATCGTCTCAAACTCTGTCTAGTTGTTTTGAAGTTGTTTATTTCGAGTAGTTTCCTTTATTTTCACAGTTGAAAGCCCAGATGCATGATACTTGATAAAGATGTTTCGAACAGCCAGACATAAACTCCCTCCTCTTTTCACGGGCGCTATTGCGAAAAATAAACCAAAATGACTTATTTGGTCATTGCCCAGTTCAAAAATCATTGGGGGCGTGGTTTGCATAATTAACCAAAGAACGGTACGGTTCGTTTCTTGCACGGAACGGTACGCATTGTGGACGGTACGGTACGCTTTGTGCACGGAACGGTACGCTTTGAGCATGGAACGGTTCGCTTTGTGGACGGTACGGTACGCTTTGTGAACGGAACGGTTCGCTTTGTGCACGGAACGGTTCGCTTTGTTCACGGTACGGTACGCTTTGTGCACGGAACGGTACGGTTCGTTTCTGAGGTGTAGTAGCACGGTTTAGGGTCTGTAATACTTCTTTGAAATTTTATATGGAACTCTTCCTAATTATGGGAACACTTTAGAAGTGGACAATAAATGTGTCATTCATTTCTACTTGATTGTATTATAATTGATTGTACTATAGTGTACTCTTTACAACTTACACCATCAAATGTTATTGTGTATCTGTGCTACTTCACCTGTATGGTGCTTCTTCCTCTTTCTCCATGTCTCTTTCCAAGTCAGAGTACCAGGATAAAAACTGCATAAAATAAATGAAACTCAAATGAAATTTAACTTACTACAATATCAATTTTCCTCCTTTTTGGTTATACTTATTTATATAGTTTATTTTTTTTCTTAATCTTATGGTCATCTTACCATTTGTGCTGTCTCGGCCTTTTCGGGTGGGGCATTTTTCTGGAATTCTTCCCCTACACTTGGGTCTTGACTTATTTCTTTTGATTGATGAGGTATTGCAGAATGTCCATCTTCCTCTGGCAGCTGATGATAAAAACGACTTAATGTTTAAATTAAGAATATACGCTGAAGAAAATATTTTGCAAGATATGTACAGTGGATAATTAACTTTACTTACAAGGTTTGTGGAGAAAAAAAAATTAAGGACTGATTCGTTAAATATGATGCAAAAACTCAGAAATCATTTAAAAATTATTAAACATTAAACAGAAAATAGAACATACTCTGTTTTATTGACAGAAATAAAAGTAAAAACAAATTCAAAGTTTGACACGTCTTACGTCTGTCGGAATTCGTCTCTCATTCACTACTGACGATAACTGTATGCATAAATCCTTTTGTTTTGTTGACAAGGACGTCAATGGGTTGTTTCTTGACTCCCAATTCGCTAATCTGTCTCGTAGAAGGCGTTTATTCATCTTCGACATTTTTTCCAACGTTTACACATCTTACTTTCGATTTTACAACCGCCAAAGAGAAAGTAAAGACACGGCTTCAAATAAAACAAAAACTGATGTTCTGATAAAGTTGGAAAATCAATAGCTAGGCCTGTAAAATCTATTTGCATACGATTTGATCAGAAGTTTCCAATTTAACTCACAATACTTATGCTAACAATTAAAAAAAATCAGTGTAGAATAAAATTAAGAGACATGAGCCTACTGAATCAAAGTACTGAATGTACTCATGGGACCCCCCCCCCCCCAAAAAAAAAACATAACAAGAGGCCCATGGGCCACATCGCTCACCTGAGAAGCTTTGACCATGCTGTTCTTTAACAGATTTCACCCATTTGTAATACCAATTGTGCATCCCCTGGTCTGTCGGTGACCCTACCCCACTGATCATAATTTAGACATTTTGAAATCTACACTACCCCATGATCCTTCCATGGGCACATATGTTTCAGCTTTTTTGGCCCAGTGGTTCCTGAGAAGAAGATTTTCAAAGATTTTTCCTATATATTTCTATGTAAAACTTTGATTCCCTATAATGGCCCCGCCCTTCCCCCGGGGGTCATGATTCCTACAATTTAGAATTTACACTACCCCAGAATGCTTCCACATAAGCTTCACTTTTTCTGGCCCAGTGGTTCTTGAGAAGAAAATTTTTAAAGATTTTCCTATATATTTCTATATAAAACTTTGATTCCCCATTGTGGCCCCGCCCTTCCCACGGGTGTCATTATTTGAACAATTTAGAATCTACATTATACCAGGATGCTTCCACATAAGTTTCAGCTTTTCTGGCCCAGTGGTTCTTGAGAAGATTTTCAAAGATTTTTCCTATATATTTCTATGTAAAACTTTGATACCCCATTGTGGCTCCGCCCTTCCCCTGGGGGTCATGATTTGAACAATTTAGAATCTACACTATACCAGGATGCTTCCACATAAGTTTCAGCTTTACTGGCCCAGTGGTTCTTGAGAAGAAGATTTTCAAAGATTTTTCCTATATATTTCTATATAAAACCATTGTGGCCCCGCCCTTCCCACGGGTGTCATTATTTGAACAATTTAGAATCTACATTATACCAGGATGCTTCCACATAAGTTTCAGCTTTTCTGGCCCAGTGGTTCTTGAGAAGATTTTCAAAGATTTTTCCTATATATTTCTATGTAAAACTTTGATACCCCATTGTGGCTCCGCCCTTCCCCTGGGGGTCATGATTTGAACAATTTAGAATCTACACTACCCAGGGATGCTTCCACATAAGTTTCAGCTTTTCTGGCCCAGTGGTTCTTGAGAAGAAGATTTTTTAATGACCCCACTCTATTTTTGTCTTTTCTTGATTATCTCCCCTTGTGAGGGGTTTTGGCCCTTTATTTTAATAATTTTAATTCCCCTTTATCCAAGGATGCTTTGTACCAAGTTTGGTCAAAATTGGCCCAGTGGTTCTTGAGAAGAAGTCGAAAATGTGAAAAGTTTACAGACGGACAGACAGACGGACAGCTAGACGGACGGACGGACAGACAGACGGACGGACGGACGACGGACAAAACGTGATCAGAAAAGCTCACTTGAGCCTTCCGCTCAGGTGAGCTAAAAATAATTTATTTTTGTTTAGAATGGTCTACAATCACTGCGCCAAAGTACTATTTTTTGTAATAGTCTTCAAACATGCATAAACTTCAGAACCAAGCTTGAGGGCATTGAGGCCATATCAACTGAAATAAATTACTGAACAATTATGTTTAATTATCACTAGCTTCACCATGTCCAAAATAAATTTGAAAATTAATTTAAATAGTAAGGTCATTATGACCTAATTTTAGTACCCAGATGAATGTAAAATTATAGAGCTCAAGATGCTTACTGAGGAGGTTTGATGATCAAACTAAAGTCTCTTATATATCATCTAAAAAGACTTGAACATGAAAAACTGTTATTCGAGAAGTAGGTCACTATGACCTACCTATCAATTGAATCATCCCCAAGATTCATAGACTTTTAAAGATCTGTAACAATATAGAGCACATAGTTAAAACTAAAGATTGAAAGATTTAAAATAAAAATCTCACGTAAAATTCAGAAAATAAGTCACGTTGACCTACTTTTTTACTTGCATACCCAATGTCCCAAGAAGCAATAATTGAAAAGGTATGTTGGAAAGTCATTATTAAGATTTTAGAATTGAGGGGGCACAAGCATAGAGTAGCAAAGTTTTCTACAGTATTCCATATATCACCCCCTCCATTTCCTAAAGCCATGAAGCTATTTTTCAAAAGGAAAGCAAATTGTTTTGAGCAATTTTATTTTCCTCATTGTAAAAGATACAGTTTATATACATTTACACATATACCTGGTAATCAACAACTCAATGACTTTGAAAAATATAAAATGATATTGCACGTTCACAAACATAGGCTTTATATTTCTAAATTCATGAGAGAAAATGATTAAAATGAAAAACAGAAATGCATTTGCATTTGTCAACTAAGAATCATAGACAATGTCCATGGCATAAAAAATGCTTTTCAAATAGTTTTTGAGTCACATTTCTAAATCCATATTGATGAAATTGTTTGGCACAAATGATTATGGGAAAGCACAGCTGAATAACTTCAATCTTAATCAGAATAATGTCCCCTTTCTTCACTAATCTGTTATCATCGTGATGATTTTGAAGTTGTTAAGATGTGATTCCTGTATTGTAAGCTAAGTCCTTGCATCCAGAACTTCAGGAGGGGCGTGTCTTCCTCTTTTGCACCAATCACCTGCAGGAGTTTCTTGGTGTCTTCCTCAGACCTACTTCCACCTGCTTTTGTGAACTTGAATCGCACTTTCACTTTACTGAAAAAAGATTTTTTTTTTTTTTAATTATATGAAGTAACATTATAAAGTTATATGTTTTAAACATTCATCTACAATTATCTCTATTGCTTTAGCCTTTAATTAATACACCAATTTTCAATTTCATGATGCTGATGTAACATGTAAAACATCTTGATCAGCAATCCACTTGTGACGTAATTTTTTTTCCATATTTGATGGCTATATGTACTAGTCATTTCACTAAAATTGATCAGCACTTGCATAAAATAAGGAATCTAAAATACTGTAATTCAAGTCTAATTTGAAATACTTACTTCATCCATTCCTCCTTGAGGCAGATGAGATAATGTTCCACCACAGTATCTGTTAGATCATTGTTCTGAATAGCAAGTTCCATTTTGTACAGGGCACTGGGAGCTGAAAAATAGGAATGTTATTAACACAGGGTGCACTGTTACTACAAGACAACTGGAAGACAACCAGAAAGCTGACCTAAACTTGTTCTGTCTCAATTGTGTTGTCACCTTGCATAAAATTCAATCTTAAAACTACAGTTTAAAACATAAATATACTGATTGAAAGAGATAGAATCCCTCAATGTAATGAAACCAGGCAGAATTTATCAATGAGAATATCTTTCTTATTTTACAGCATTCATGCTTCATCTTAATACATGTATTCAGGACAAAATCAATAAGTAATTTTTAAAGAATTTAAAAATAAAGATCAATTCACAGCCACCTTTGTCTGGCAATGTTCTGGGACTGGCCATGTTGAAATCAAGTCTGTTGAGCAGATCTTCCTCTTCCCCCGACTGTGCCTCTGTTGATTTCTGTTCATTGATTTCCACCAGTACAAATGTCTCATCTGACATGATGTGCATAGGAAGATCTACCTCTGGTGGCAGGCCAAGGAAGTTACACTTCCAGGATTCTTCATACACCTGGCTATAGGGGATCACTCTACAGCAACCCTTTGGCAGCAGGCTCTGCAACAATTAACAATGCATCTCTGTTACCGTGATCATGGTTAAAATGAGGTTAAAACAGTGAATACCCATCTAAAACAGATTTATAGGCACCAAATATTTCAAGTTGAAATATTTTCAATAGGATGCATATAGTGAATAATGAATTAAATGAAGTAGTTTTGGTTGTCTCAAATCTTGCCTCCTCTAGATCTCTGCATTACAATTTACTTCATAAAGTAATTAAAGTTACGAAACAGGGTAAGGAAAAATGGCTGCATTTGTTATGAAGCTAGAGCATCTGAATAATAAATACTAACTCAAATCTTTCTTCTTTCTTACCTTGAGTACATTTAGGAGAGATTTGACAACAGACTTGAGAGAGCTCCGAACTATGATCTGGTTGCCGATGACAACATGATGTGCCAGAACATGAAATTTATCTTCACCTAAAATCTACAACGTACATCATAATGTAGCTACTCAGTTATTACAGTGCACCTGATTTATGAGTCCTATATCCAGCATGTGCAAGCATTTATTCTTTTCCATTACTTCTTGATCAACCTTTGTTGACTTTAGTATACACTGTGTTTAATACAGAGTAACATTTACTTCACTTTAGCCTCATTATAACAGAAGGTATACTAAAGTACATAATCACTATGAAATTCAATATAATAAACCAATGTAATAATGCATTGTTTGGTTTTCCTGATATACTAATAGCAAAGATCATTAAAACCCATATTTTTCTATACTTCTGAGTTTTATTTTTATAAGTACCTTCTGATCATCTTACAAAGAAATGTCCCAGAGCAGTTCAAGACATATAAAACATAGTCAAACCTTCATAAGATGTCTGATGTTTAATATGGCGGGTCCCCCCTCTTCCTCCTCCTCTACCCCCAGGCTCTCAGTAATCTCTCTACTGGAACTGTCCTCTACATCATCTACGTTAATTTTCTTACTGAAAATCAGGCAGAAACCTTCCTCGGTGATCTCTGTAAGAGATGTGAAGTTCACTTCTTTGACTTTCATGTATTTGATTCTACATGTATAATAACTTATTTACAATTAATTTTCTAAGAAACCTAATGTGTTTCAAGGAAGAATAGAACATAAAACAATAAAAAAGTAAAAATTGTCTGTAAATAAAACAATGATCTAATAACTTTTGACAATAACATTTGAATTTTGGTATCTCTAACACTGATACAGTTAATTCTCGATAAACCGCCACCTTCTGTAATTTAGAAATCATGGCGGTATAACGAATTTGGCGATGAATTGAATTTCCCATTTTTAGGAAACAAGAAGTAGAGTTACCGTTCTTAGAAATACCATTTAGCATTTCTATTCTTATTATTACATGAACATGTTTATAAAATTATATTTCTAAATTTAAAAATACTTCAAGTAATTTTTTTATGTATAATTTCGCTAAAACAAAATGTGCAGTTATGAAAAAAGATGCATGAAAATCTGCACGTCTAATATAAAAAAAAAAAAAAATACTGGGTCGATCGTCGTGATATATTGCCGATAGAATGTAAAATGAATTCTTGCATAAATTCACTGTTTATGGCATCATCGATAATGAAACGTTCACAAGTTATACTGTAGAATTATTTATTTTTAGCAAACTTAGCATCGTTTAAGGCAGAGATCATCAAAATAATATATCGTTATCGGCTTACTTTAACAATTACCGCTTTCGTGGCGAAGCCGTGACTAAATGATTTTTAATAAACAGAAATCAAAATTATTATAACAGTTCATGTTAAAATTATTGTTTATTAATTCTTGTTTAATTACTTAATTGCATGTACCTTGTCTGCCTTTACATGCTTTACAACAGGGATAGCGTCACAACCAATTAGCCGCGCTTCACTGACCACACGCACCTGTGGCGGTATTATCGAGATAATTGACACTTAAAAATGGACGTTTGTTATGAAAACAGGGTGGCGAATGGCGGTATGCGAATTTGGCGTTATAAAGAGAATTTTTTATAGCAGGAAAAACGTTCTGGGGAAATCATGGCGGTATTGCGAAAATGGCGATGAATCGAATGGCGATAATTCGAGAATTGACTGTATATCGAATAACACAAATATATCAAAGTAATATGGCTTATTCCTACCTCCCTATCTTGAGACTTTGAATATCTGATCCCATTGAGCTTGAAATAATGAGGTTTGATTGTTTTTAAAAAAATTACCTTCTTGTTTTTCCATATCTATAATGGAGTCCTCAGTCGGAGGCCCTTCTAGCAGAGTCTCCGTTATACGATTACCACAAGCTTTCAGAATCCACACAAAAGACAAATGCAGGATCTTAAAAATGTTTTTATCATCAGTCAGGTCCATCAATGACCGTGCTGGTTTACTCCACCTTGAGGTTTGTGGGGGTTGCTGATGAATTTTTGCTTTCTCCCTCTCATATACTATGTTAGCTTTCTTTGTAATGTGTTCTATGACAGTTTTTAGATGGGGAACAAGAAAAGGCCAGGAATTCAGAAGGTAGATTTTGTCCATCATGACCACCAGAATACTGTATCGCTTGCTAAATCCTCTGGCTTGGCTATCATTTATGTGAAAGGTGTAACTCAAAACATGGCCCTGCTGATCATTTCCAAAGAATATTGGTCCATCATTTCCCAGACAAACCTGAAAAAAACATTCAACAGAAAAAAATAAACATAGTGCTGTGAATTAAAAAAAATTAATATATACATGTATTTAATACTTTCTCTTCCTAGAAATCGTCATGAAAGGAATGGTGACAAACCTCCCCTGTAAGTGACCGTAAACAAGCTTGTCTACTCATGCTGTAAACTTCTCTGTCATAGGGCTGTTTGCTGCTGATATAGTTTACTTGAGCATCTTCATCTCTGCTTATAAATCCTGTCTTCACAGACGAACATCCCTTAAAAATAAGGAGGCATATTTACTTGACCAAGATTTAAATGATCTAATACAAAATGTTACAGATGTTGACAAATAAAACTTTTAAAGTAAAGCAGGCTAACTGACTAAATGTATACGTATCAATTTAGCTTACATGTACATGTATGCCTCTATTTTCAACGAGTCACATGTAAATTTCTTTATACTTTATTACTTTTATCTTTTAAAATAAAAAAAAGGACAGATATAATCCATAAAGCTCATCTTTCTTAAAATTAATAGACTTGCAACTTTAATCAACCAATCAATAAATCAATTAATTAATTCATACCCCACAAAAGTCATTTTTTGGAGTGGCAGAGGTTGGTGTTGTGGGTTCGTTTGTTATGGATGATGAGCGGACAAGCCGTCCACCTGTTACTGTGTCGTCTGAATCAGTGGAGGTTGTTCTCTCTAGAGGATGAAGAGGCTGGGTGCAGAACAAAACCTGGGGGCCATGTACTTCACAGAAGTGGCAGAGGGAAATAATGGCATTCATGTTTTAAGTGGAATGATGAACTGCAACTACTACTGCAAATAAATTTAAGATGTGATAAAAGTTAAATACATTACTTTATAAACAATAAAATGATACAAATATCCCAAATTTAGTCCAAAGCTTGGGGAAACAATATTCAAAAACACATTTTTTTTCTTTAAAAAAATGACAAGATTTAAAAAGAAAGGAATTAACTTACAAGTGCGTGAATATTATGTTGTATAACAACACGAACATCAAAATCTTTTCACTGACGACGTCAATTCACATTGTCACAAACAAAAAAGCAATGAAACGTGATTGTGACACACTTTGCAAAAGCACCATGTTTACACCATGTGACTATTTGTGATTCAGAATAATTCAGAGGTTATGATTAGTCAATGATGCTAAATTTTATCCAATCATAAACCGTCTTCTTTCAGAATCGGGTTCGATCAAAACACGACGGTTTGTTGATAAATGGCGGTATTATTTCAACCGGAAAGATAAACTTCCAGGAGAAAGGTATGCACCGTGTAAATACGGAAAACTTTGATTGTTCTATCATTCAGATAATTTGTACTGTCCAAGAAATTGTATAATTGCAGTAAATCGTCCCATTATTTTGATGACACGTGTTTGAAAGATACATGTGTGGACATGCAAAAGGCAGTCAGCTTATATTTAGAAAGGTCTTTGTTGTTTTTCATTTTACCGATGTTTATTGTCTTGCAGTAAGTTGAACTACTTATTCTGATTAACTGACCAAAAAGATAAATTTCATTCACAATTTTGGATATCGTTATGGCCAATTAATAACAATGCTAAATTGCTAATCAACTGTCATTATGAAATCCTGCACATCACTGCACATTGAATCAGTGGGGCTTGTGTAGAGAAAATAAATCAGTTAGAAAATTAGTGCCTAGGAGACAAAAAAGTGATTTTTTTTCTCTGAGCAGTGAGGTACAAATTTTCTGATGTATTTTCTCAACACAAAAATTTAAGCCCCAGTGATTGAATGAACTTATGCTGCGGCAGCAAGTTCTTTATTATTTCATAACCAATTATAGTACTGTATATGTACCTAAAATAGAGGTTTTCATATTTTTTAAAACAGCATTGGCGTAGACGAGGATGCACTAAATCATGAATACCGATAAGAACTCATTTATAAATACAATATACGGCACAAACATGTGTAGCGCTAATTCATAATTTAATACGCCAACAACTCCATATCCATTGATTGCGCTAAATTTTGAATATGCCAAATTATATACACGTACACTACAGTATTTGTAACAGGAGGAAAGGAGAAAATGTATGGCTGGATGAGGACCCCTGCATCATTAGTCACGGGCTGTACCAAATGAGCTAAGAAGCCCGATATCCTTGGCCCAAACAATTATATTCCTCTCTACTTTCATCTTTGCCCACAAAGACACAACCTGATTTCTTATTAACCTCTGGCAGGACTTTCATCTGCATATCTAGGGGTGTTCAACAGCATCAAGTCTGTAACAGAAAATTAGAAAATAAAAATGTAGGATAGGGCTGGGAATCGAACCCAGGGGTTCAAAATTTTTTTTGTCATGGTCAAGTCCAGGACTTGAAGAGTAAATTTTAGGCAAGTCCGAGGAAGAAATTTCAGAGTCCATATTTACCTAAACATCATTAAATTTATAATTTATTTTCATTTGTTGCATTGAATGAATAAAGACTATGTGTATTAATATATGTTTTATTTTTCCTCCATAAACTGTCATATAGTCATACATGAGTATTTCAACACAGTACCAGACTTATAGATTACTGGTACATTACAATAACTTTTACAAATACTCACTACTTAATAAACCATCTGTTACAATAAACAGAAATTAGAATGTGCTGTAAGTCACAGCTATTAAAACCGAAATTTAACAAACTCATTGCCGTTTGTCATATAGGAGGAAACATGCGGAATTGCGTAAAAGCAAAAGTCTAACCGCAACGGAAAATAAAAAGACGGATTGTATTTTCGAAACGTTCGTAATGTTTTATGGGTATTTTAACGCCCACAAACCCACATTTTTACTTAATACATTTGAGAATTTGCTTTATTTTTAGCTTTACGATCATTTTTTTAACTTATAAAAAAAGATAAACAAGAAACATAGCCAAGTCCCAGGACTTTGGCGAATTCTAAATGCCGAGTCCGGATCCGGAATTTGTTAGTCCGGGACGTCGGGCTTGAGGATTTTTGAACCCCTGGAACCCAGGACCCCTGCATCACTAGTCAGGTTCTACATTTACAAATTTTTGGTCAAGCAAAATTTGGTTTGGTCCTATACAAGATCAAATGTCATTTGTGACCCAAAAATCTTTTGCAAAGACTGGGTGTTACTTTGATACTTAGTATTATTAGTTATACAGTCAGTTAGTGACCTAATACGGATTCATACAGGGTGTGAAATGGAAATCCGTATTGGGCGAGGCGAAGCCGAGTCCCAATACGGATTTCCATTTCACACCCTGTATGAATCCGTATTAGGTCACTTACTGACTGTGTAACGAATTTATCCCACTGAAGACCTTTTTCAATATAAAAAAAATATTTGTGCATATTATGAAAATATTAGTTTTAATCCAATAACAATCAACATAAAATATCGTTACGGTAACAAGAAATTTAAACTACCTACGTTAACCGTTTTTTTAGCCGCCATTTTTATTTACAATAACAACGCTTCGAACGGAATTGCGTGCCCAATTTTCATATTACGCCTCGACGGAGACGTAATATGGAAACGGAGACGTAATAAAAATTTCAGGGCGTCATGTGATTAGCTTTTATCCAATCAGTAATCGACAAATTTGTCTGAAGCGGGATAAAACTATATACAGAGTGTTGTAAATGTTAAACGAAGATAAAAGTCAGTTGCCAAGAAATTTCAGATGGAAATCAGTAGTGTAGGACCTAGAGGGTCTATATAAAAAAATGAATGGCCTAAGATCAATCAGTGAATTTTTAGGGCATAGCATGATGCATTGATCTACAGATTGCTGGATGTTTTATTCCCCTCACTTGGTACTGTGATGAGATGTATTGGTGAAGCTGGGGCTTAGATCTTTGAAAAACATGCCAAAGTCTGGGAAGGGCCTATAAGTGCAGGGATTTTTTTAGGGTCTCTCTGGGGCTGAAATTCGGCCCCATTCCCAATGCTGAAAAGTGCATGTTTTTCCCAAAATTATACCTAAAAATTCCCAATATGAAAAAAAGTAGTATTAAAGTTGTAAGTTATTAAAATAAAATAATGAAAAACAGGTGTTATGTGTCCCTATGTGTGATATACGAGCCATCTGAGAAGTCATTCAGAATTCTACAGATGTTTTTAAAGCGGGATCGATATTTAAAAATTAAAGTCGGGATCGTTATTTGATAAGTTAATGTGCATCATGGCAGTCTCTCAAGTTTGCCTCGGATGGTAATTTTCAGTCTGGGTTGACTCGCTCTTGAGTCTTGTTCTTATAAACTGGTCAATCAGTTCTGATTAATCACTCATCAGGAACAAACCTACTATGAAAGTTTATTTTTAACGAATAAAGGTAATAAAGACGACAACGTATAAATATGTTCATTTACAATTTTATCATTACATACTGTGCGGCTTTGCCATTTTTAAGCTTCTGAACTTCAACAGCCGCTATTATCTTATATCAGTAAAGCTTATTGAAGCCAGTTTCATACAATGAAAGATAAGAAAAAAAGATTGAATAGTTGACTTTTGCTTGTTTTTTCCTTTTTATTTGTACGAAGATATTTTCCCAATTTCAACCAAATATCGCTATTTTTCCCAATCTTGACGGCCCCGGCCCATGGAATCAAAGGGTAAAAAATTCCCTGAAGTGCACTGTACATATGAAATACCATAATATGAAGATTGCATACTTTGAGCTAATGGTGTATGACGACAGTTCAATTCATTCAGAAAGTTGTTCTTTGTAGACTAGTGCTGAAAAATGACGATTTTTTATTCAAAGACAGGAATTCAAAAAGATTAGAAAGATATGATACCTTTACATGTGTTTTACAAAAAAGAGGTACATGTAGAGGCAATTTTAATTGAATATTGTATCAAAATTTTCTCCATCAAATACAGCTAGTATAATCATGATTTCAGCAGGGTAATAGTTCCAAGTGTGGGCACATTTGGTTAGATAACTTACGTGTAATCTAATTTTATAAACTATGTACAAGACATAATCATTGATAATGAACAAGAAATGTCGCAAAATTTTATGTTTTAGCCAAGAGTATGGTTTATTGCAGCAATTTGTTCAGTCTTGCCAGGGAGAAAATTTAGTCTCATATTTTTATTATGTTGAAAAAAGTAATTATGTTCAGTTTAAACTGTTTCCATAGCAACAGATTGATTAGAAATGTATTGAAAATCTTAATCTTTTTTGTCTGTATGTGTGAAATTTCTTAGATTTATAGTGATTGGCTGATTGCATTACCTGTTCTTTTCAAAAACATAGAATGAATGTGTATATATCTATTGCAGAGCTAGGGAATGAATTAATAATGAAAAACCTGTGCCAGCCAAGATGAAGGAAGACTGAAGAATATTGACTGTATACTCAGTATGGTATACTAGGCTGTGAATGAAACAGTCATGCAAACCAAATAGACAGTCAAATTCTGCAGTGATTTTAAGGTAAGAATGAGAAACTTGGGCATATTTTAGCAGTAGTATTATTTCTTTGTAAATGTGCAGAAATTTTGTATGAATGAAAAGTTCCAGGTGACATTTTTATCGCTTTGAATTATAAAGAACTAAAAAATACAGATAAAATATACCACTATTTAAATAGTATATATTTATTTTCAAAATACTTTGTTGAAAAAAATCCTGTAATTACAAAATCTACAAAATTCAGATTAAAATTAAAAACATTTAGTTATCAGTTCAGAAATATTGTATGAAAAATTAAATAGCAGGATTATAGGGATGTTTAACATTTCCTAGTCTTTGTCCCAATACAACATGAACAATGTGCAATACTTGGCCATGTTGAGAATACCTGTACATCGTAACATGTCAGACTTTACAGGTGGGGGATGAATAATTATTTTTTAACTTCATTTATATTATGCCAGTCTGTTTTATACTTTTGCGTTATTGAGAGGTGTTTTACAATTAAAGCATGGAGAAAGACAGCCAGGACGAGGTCTGCATGCTATAGACTTTTTCTTTAACCTTTTGAAGTTTAAATTGTACTCAAATACTTTAAATAATGCAGTAATACATGTACTTAAGGTTTAGTGGGATGTTTTTCTTTTGTTTTTAATGATATTAATATTAATTCTACATGAAATAGGTTTTCTAATTAATAGAATTATCTATCAACTTTTTAAATTTTTGGCATGTATTGCTGTTTGAGGATTTTTACAATAACTGTGTTTAATATGATATTTATACAATATACTAGAGTAGTTGCAGTGTTTTAACTAAGAAATTTGTTGCAAAGTCCACAGAGATTTTGTTCATTAACCTCAGCCCCTTTCCTGTTACAACTGATCTATAACCCTTTACTTTGAAATAAAGGGAAAACACTGTAGTTGTGTACCTAGCTAGAGAGTTTTTTTTCCCTTCTTTGCATGTAGTAGAACAATTTCACAATTATTGAAGCATACACTCTGTAGCCTTAAATGATTTGTTAAGATATTTTCCAAAAAAAAGTTTTAGTTTAATATGAATACATTAAACTTTTCAAAAAATAAATTGAAGAAGATCGAATTACATCTCAATGTTAGAGAAATTGTGTAGCACTACATTGGTCAGCAGTGGCATAGTTATATAGTGTATTTCTGTAATTGGATTAAACACAGGATTGGCTTGTATTAAGTTCTAGCTTTGTCCAGTGTGGATAAACCCGGATTTGCAAAAAATAACAATTGCACTAACCAGCTCTTTGGTGCTTTACCAGCTTATGTCGAAAATGGTGAAGTTTAAATCGCAGAAGTCTTTTGTTTGTAGTGAGGTAAGCATCGTTTTGGAACAAGGGTTTGTTTTTGGAAATAATACATGTAGGTATTAAGACCAATCATTTATGTCAAATCACTTTCGAGTTGGTCGCAGACCATTGTGCTGCGCTATTTCTGCAATTTATTTTCCATCCTGAAAATTGATTCCAAACATGGAAAATTTTGGAAGTTCTAAAGCTTTTTCTGAATTTTGGGATTAAAACATGGGATAGAGTTTAGATGCTGTGTGAGGTTTTGTTCTACTAATGAACCCCCAAAATATGGGACTTGATCACACATCTGTAAACTCTCAAGATACCGAAAATTTTCAAAGAATCAGGGAGAGAGTTCTGCGAATGGTAAGGAATTGAAAAGACGTGACCAAAATATATTTTGCCTTATACTGTAGTAATATGGCAATATATAGTTTTGTGCATAGAAGTGAGTATTAAATACTTTGATTGTGTAATTATACAAAAACAAAAGTTCTTGCAAATAAAAAGTGATTTACAGAATGTCAAAAAATTTAAGTAATTTAAAATGTTTATCTTGAATGGCCAAGTAATTTTGAAATTAAAACAAAATTTAAAGGCAATCCTGCATTTGAGCCTTATATTATAATCTTTGCAATCATGATTGAAAAATATTTAACTTAAAAAAAAGGACAGGAAGAATTAAACCTTAGTAGCTCCATGTTAATAATACATGCAATAAAGGATATATTTAAACAAAGTAAGAAATGAAGAAAAGAAATATATTAATGTATCCATTCTGTAAAATGACAATTCATTATTTACACTTATATGAATGGAAAATTTCAGCTGACTAGTCATGTCAAGGGGGATTTAAATGTTTTACTTTAGAAGTAGCAAAGCATACATGTTCAAGTATTGATCCAAAAAAGAGATCAAATTGGATTCACACATTGAAGATATTAAAAAAAAGAATATGACATCTAGAGTTAATTTTAGTCCTTGTGAAAATTGATTTAATACACATACTCTTTTTCATGTCTTGAAATCCTACCCTTAGCTGGAAATTGAAATATCTCTAAGATGCTAAGGCATTCAACCCAGTACCCTGCACTTGATTGAAAAAGGCTTGTTTGCAGGTATATATACAGTTGAACAGGGCTGGCACATTGCCACTATTGTCAACAGAAAAAAACTTTTTCCTCTCTATTATGGAACCGTCTTATAGTGTTTATCCCAGCTCACGACCATTTTCGAGATTCCTTGAGGATTATAAGGAATTAACTGAAATTCTAATTTATTAATTAACATATAATTAGATAACATAAATAGGGTGAAGTGTTTATCCGTTTCCAAATGAGGTCATCCTGGATTTTGGCACTGTGTTTTGTATTGGGTGATTTCTAACTGCTTTCTTTGTTTATGTGGGGGAGTTGGTGTTTTTCAGTGATTTAAACTTTATAATATTGAATGATGTTTGAGAAAAAAAATTCTGTACTGAGTTGTGATGTGGCATGATAAAGATGTATGCATTTCAAAGTAACTGGGTGGATGTAGGAAGTTCTGTCATAATGTTTATAAATAACACTTAGATAATCTGGGATATATATTTCTATCAGTATGGTAAGTTTATTTTATCATGGTCATTTGATAAAGTAATTCAAAACTAAACAAATTAATGATCATTTAGAAATTTTCTATCCCAGCTTTACATATTAAGATAAAGACTGGTGTACTTTTTCTGACACATAGAATAAATTTTTCGACAAAACATGCAGGAAAAATTTCAAAATGTCATCAAAAAAGAGCAAGTCCAAAATCAATTAGCAGATCTTTCTGTAAATGTCTAGTAAAGGGTCAATTACCTAGTAATCTGTTTAATATTGGTTCAGGCTTTTAACAGGCTTTTTAAAACTGTTATGATCTTGATGTGAATTGGTCAATTTAAGACGTTTTTATTATTTTTAGGCGGCGCTACCACCAATGATGGGGGACCTCCTAGAGTACTTTGAGGCCAAGAACCACTCTCTGGACAAAGTGGACGTTAATCACTCAGTCAGCCTGGACAGCAAGTTCACATCCTGTATCACATTTAATGGCATTCCTATTTTACCACCAGTGGTAATTTTTTAACTGCTCTCTAAACTGTAGCTATCAATGCTTATCTATTCATATGTTAGGCCAACTTTTATATAATGTTTGTTTGCACACTTCTGACTCGGTATGAAAAAATTTGGTTGGTAGGTAGTTGAGAAATTTTTTTCCCCAAAAAATTTCAATTTCAATGCTGAATTTTCAAAATCCATTTGCTAGCATATATAATCATTGCTTTGTGAAGGTTAAAGAAAAATTGAGTTGTGAAATTTTCAGCTAGTCAGTTGGGAGAGGGTAACCAAAAACATTTTTCAAGCTTACACTCAGAGTAATTCAAAGCAGTTGTTATCAAAACTCCTGAGCACTTGCAAACATATGTAAAAATTATTTTAAATCTTGTACATGATCTATTTCAACTTTTAGATGACGCAGAGAAGGCGAGATGAAATGTCTGGATATCGCCGACAGGCCGTTCAGAGAGAAACTCGTAGGAGGTCCAAACAGCGCCTACAGCTCGTGGCCAAAGTCCAGTCCATAGTGGCTGAAGTGGAGGTAGGGACAATGTGACCCCCGTGGCATGAGAAGATTTTTTTTCAAAGAGTTCTGCAGATATCCAAGTGATTTAAAGAAGATGAAAATTTTAATATTTTATTTCATTTTGAATTATTTTGTAGTTATTTGGCAGGTGTAATTGTTTATGATATCAAAATGTTTTAGTAATTGAATATTGATTTTAATTTATCATACGAATGACTTATTTTCATTTCAATCATTAATTTTTTTCATCCTTATAACCATCATAGACATGATAGATAACAAACATAGACATGATAGATGAACTTCAAGTAGTAACTTTTTGTGATTAGGATTGTAAATTAACACAGTTGTTAGTACATTATCTTTTTTAGATTTTTATGGGGGAAGGTTCTTTACGCAAGATACTTGTAGAGAGAGCTATCTTTAAAATCATTAATTAAAATCATTAATATTAAATTACTTTCCTTTCTTTTAATGTTTAACCTATCTTGAATTTCGATGCAGGTATTAAAAAGATAAGCAAATGATATATAGATTGAGAGGGAAATAAAATTTGTAAAATTTTATCTGAAAATTAATTTGATTTATTGAAATTTCAAAGTCATTTCCTCTACTTCTTAATCAATGCTGATATACTAATTTTCTGTCAAAATAAACAAATTACATTTAAAATTTCTTGCATTCAGTCTGTATCATTCATTGTCCATTTCATTCATAAATTAACAACGTCTATCATTAAACCTCCATGCCAATGTACCTTTGCAGAAGGAATTTTCCTTAAAATGCCGCACTCGATTGCCCCGGACAGCTAACATTTCCCGACTCCTTGTAGGTGGATGAGGAAATTTTTATTTTTCGTCACTCTCAGATTGTACTCTCTGATAATCGTCTTTCTGGGTGTTTTTTTTTACTTTGTGTATGTTAGATAGAACACTCTAAGATGAAATAAATATCCTGTAGATTTATTTTGTAGTAAAAAATTTTAATTTCCCTTTTCCCTAACTTTTTTTCTTCTGTAGCTTTAGAAAAAAACATTTTTTCATTGGTTAAAGTTCATGAAACAAGTATTTAATATGAGGATGATGTATTAAAATAGAAATGCAGATTAATGTTAGTAGTAATTCAAGGTACAAAAAAGAAATAAAAGCTAAAAATTATCGTTTATTTGGGTAAAAAAGATATATGTGCCAAAATTGCTGTGCCTGTGAGAATTTCTGACATACACAAATTTGATTGGTTGAGGGGAATTTTTGTATCATCTGGATCACTGTAGAGCTTTAAAACACCGATCCTTGTCAGTGTTCCGTCTTTAACATTCGTCCTTGGATTGAGAGTGTCTCTGAAGACTGTATTTGTGGTGTGTGTTTTTGCACCATTAAGTGATTTCATTGAAGTTTGTTACACTTTAAACCAAACCTTAGAAAGTAGATGTGTGTTTCAGAAAACATGTGTTCCATGTATGAAAGTACAAGTACATTGATTGCACACTTTCTATACTCTTAATTATTACACAGATGCTTGATTTTCTTGATATGTATATATTGCACAAAATATTAAATGCTAATGCAACATTGACATAGATAAACGAAAATTCATTTTTCTGATCAAACATTTTTACTAGATAGTGATACCAATTTTCCTTTACCTTTAATAAACACCCTATGTAGATTTCATCATGAATTTGTAACTAGGATTAGACATAGAATCTTTCTTGAAAATGTGTAACAGTTATGCATATAAAATTTCTCTGCAATCACTGATTTAATAGTGAATGATTTGGTTCAAAGTAAGCACTTGCAGATAGTTAGATATATTGTGTTAGCTATGATTTGTACATTTTGATTAGACATAAACAGTATATTAACTGAGCTTCATTGTTGACTGAATCTTAAAAAGTTCAAATTTACACCCATTGATTCTATTTCTTGCTGATTTACAGGAGAAGCGTTCCAGAGGACTTTCTGACTCCACTTGTTCTTCCCCAGTGGGATCTGACAGCGCCGCTTCGTCCAGGATATCCCCGGGCCCCAATTACCAATCCTCCCCCTCTGAACCCCCCAAACCCAGGTCTGGTCCACAGTCAAGGCTTCAGGATCAAAGTTCAGAGGACTCACCTAGTGTCAGTATAAAGAAGGAAAACAAAGATGTCCAAAAATCTCAGGTGCCCGAGAAAAGTGAAAAGACAAATAAACCAACAGCTAAAAGTGACGTTAAACAAAATATAAGTGGAAATGCCAGTAAAGTTAAGGGTGCTTCTAACAATTATCAGGCAACTGATACAGCAAGGGAAAAGAATGAGTCAAAGACAGTGAAGTCTGCTCTGGTGAGCAGTAAACAGAAACAATCACAGATACCCAAACCAGTTTCTTCAAGTCAGGGTCAGAACAAGGCTCTAAGTAACCTGAAAAGAGCCAGCTCCATGTCTTCCCTTCCAAATTTGGCTAAAATCGAGGGTCTGCCCACTCCCAAACCTCCGACTTCACCTAAAACCAAGCAGCAGTTGAGGCGAGCTCGACTTGGAATGTCGGGACAGTATTCTATATCTCAGCCAGATCTAAGGGACATCGACAAATCAGACTCAGAAACATCAGTGTCTTCACATTCGCAGGTGGAGGAAAGTGCTTCTCAGAAACGACAGAAACTGTTATTGTCTACACAGCACAGTGTGTCAAATCCAGACTTAACTAATACTGGTTTATCACCAGATAGATCTGCTCAAGAGCAGATGAAGGGCAAAATGTCACCCAAAACCAAACTGAGAAGTTCCACAAGTGTTCCAAATTTAACTATGGTGGGTAGGACCAAGAAAAAGAAGACCCATGCCCAAAGAGATGCTGAAAAGTCAGCTGCTCAAAAATTGCAACAGAAGCCACAGAAATATTCTGGTGAAGGTGCCAAACCTAAGAGTTCTTCAATATCTGTTAGTATACCTATTGAGATAGACAATAGAGAAGAAAGACTTGATTCATTGTCAGATTTCACATCCCTGGACAACTGCAATTCTCTTCCTGAGGAGTTTGCAGGAATGCCTTTGTCATCTGTTAGACAGCAGCAGATCAGTCATGTGTTAGTTAAATTATCCCAGTGTCTGAACATTCAGGACACCATGAGTACACTTAGTTCTACCGTTTCCTCTGGACATGACACTGCTGAAATTAGGCAGCAGATAACTGATCAGATTTTAGCATCAGCAGGTATTAAACCAGGGTCTGTACAGGCTCAACAGTTCTTAAATCAATATAACATCCAACAAGGTTCGTCTGAAAATCCAACGGATGATTCTTCAGTGTCCAACGCTCAGACACCACCTTCCTATGATTCTAGTAATGTGAGTTCTGAACCAATTAGCTCAAGCAGTGGAGGAAACAGAACCCATACAAGTACAGCTTCTAACTCCATCATGAGTTCTGGAGGATCTGCCTCAGGTGGACAACAGCAAAGCAGAAGGTTGAGTCCAAAAGGAGGCAAGAGTAAGGTGCATTTCTCTTCATTTTTAACAGAGATTAGCACCAGTGCAAGCCAGTCCTTGGAGGGCAGAATTTCTGTCAGAAAGATGGACATTACTCCACAAAACAGTCCAAGGGTTAGTGTTGATACTGTGGATGGATTACAGACAATAGATTCACAAGAAAAATTGAAACTGAAGATTGTGCCAAAAAACTCCAGTGACCTGGGATTGGGCTCTGGGCCTCAGGTCGACTATATTAACATTACCGAGGAACCAGAGTCCATGTTGAGTAAAGTGGCCCTTAGTCCAGAAACTTCTGAGTCCTCCCCAGGAACACCTAAGGATATTTTTAGTAAAGGTCTTCCATTTCATGGATATGGCAATGAACCAGAGCATAATACCTCTGATAAGGAAAATGAATTCAAGGAGAAATCCATGGTCGGAACCTCTGAAGGATTTGTTCAGACAAATATTTCTTCATCTTCCCATGTTGATACTCAAGACATTGTGAAAGAAAGTGTGAAATCTGATGAAGGTTCCCAGTGCAGCACACTCAAAGCTAGTCAAGATTTGTTAAGAAGTAGAGAATCAGGTGTTGAAAACACTAAATCGTCAGCTTCAGATTTAAAAAGTGAAAGCCAAACTTCTTATTCAGAGAGAAATTTAGGGGGCATTAAGAGCAATCAGATGGGACAGCAACAAATCAAGTCAGTTTCTCATGATAAAAATACATCCCAGCATGCTTCAGTAACACAAAAAAGAACAAGTTCTGCAGACACTTCATGCAGAGCACAAACTCAGGGAATACGGAGCAAGGCTGAAGCAAAGCGTGCACAGCTGACCTCCCAGCAAGGTCAGCACGCTTCTCCAGCTGTGCTGCCGGCCGAATCTCACGAGTTTGTCTCGAGTGGTGCAGCAAGTAAGGGACCATCTTCTCGGTCTGCTCAGAAGAGGTTAGACTTGGATGTTGAAAGAAACAATGGATATACAGGGTCACATGCACAAAATTTCTCCTTGGATACTTCCACGGAACAAGAGGGCAAAGCTGAGCATATACAAAGGTATTTGACTCATGTTCAAAGCCAGCGGGGTGCTTCTCCGGTGAATACGGGGATTCCTCCAGAAATGGCCCCCATTGGAACCCCTGCTGACATCACAGCAGCCATCCAATCATTTACTTCAAGTCTTCAGTCACTGGAAAATATGTCCGAGGAGGAACTGCTACATATTCAGGCAGAACATTTTGACAAAATCCGCAAATTTTTAGTTGAACAGCAAAGACAACAGTTAGAGGAACTTTTTGTCATTCAGAGGCGGGAACAGATGGAACTTCAGAATGACATCGCAAGTTACCAAAACAATCTCAGGAAACAGGCAGAATTCAGCAATATTTCTTACCTCAGTAATAGCACTCAACTCAATCAGCCAAATCTTGAACACTCACCCGAGAACAATGCAGCTTACAACATGGGCCAACCAGAGGAGGTAAATTTATTATGGACTTAATTGCTACAATTTAGAGTATATTACTTTTTTTTTGGTATATGATTTAAACAACTGAAGAGAGATATTTTTTCATTATTGTGTAGAGATCTGAAATTGATAAAATGCCTTTTTTTTTTAGCCTTTCAACATCAGCCATATTAGTCACCATGGTAACACAGCAGGGGTGGATAACTACCATAACACACAGCCTAAGCAGTTTGCCTACATATCTAGTCCCAGCCTGTACTTTAACCCCAAGGACCGTGACAACAACTCCGACATCAGCACCTTCAGTAGGGCCACCCCCAAACAGTCCCTCCAGTTTGTCAATCACTCCACCCCCTCCCCCAAATCCTTCAAACCTGTGATGCACTCTCCTGTCAAACAGCCATCATCAGCCAGGCACAGTAAGCCTGTCAGGATTCCAGAGAAGGTAAGACTTCTCTTCTTGTCAGGCATTTATTGATAATTACATCTATGTCAAATTTAGTTCATTCACTAAGTGCTATGGCATCATTTAATAGCATGGTGGCCCAATACATGTATTTGTGGGTAGCTCTTCTGTAACAACATTCTCATGCAAATGAGGTGTGAAAAATTAATATGCAGTACAAATATTTATATTTTACAGGTATTTAGCTTTTATCTGTAATCAGTGATCATCATAGTTAATCTGAAATTGTAGTGACAGACCTTCATTTGTTTATAGGCATTTGATGATGACATGCAGCCTTGCTTTGACCGAGTATCAGCTTGCGTCAGAGGTTACTTGACTAGGCGGTTACTGAAGACAGAAAAAGTTCAAGAGATTATCAAAACTATACAGGTATAAATATGTGCAGAAAATTAACTTTTGATTGATATATATCATCGTGATTGTAGAAATTGCTTGGAAGATGATCAATAAATCTAAATGAAACCCATGAGGAAATTAGAGATGTGTGATATCATGTGTACACCGGTGCTGACAAATGCTAATGCATTGTACATGTATTTGTCAGCACAGTCATGTGCTGTTAGACATCCGACAACATTCAAAAATAACAATGGAAATTAATTTTTCTTCTTAATTTTTTATAATTTGTTTATTGCAAAATACCATATTATCATGATTTTTCTAGAGGAGAATCATGATATATCTTGATTTGAAATTTTTGGCTATACTCTTCCCTAATAAAAACTTATACACCAGTGGAAATGAAAGAGCTGAAACTCCTCAGGCTCCTTTCTGGTTGTGAGTTAATTTTATTTTTGCGTCTAATTTTAGGACACCAAGCAGTTTGCATACAGCTTTCAGGCAGAGACTCCGATCAAGAGGGGGGTCTTCTCCCACCAGGACAGAGATCTTCTAGACAGGATTATAGCTCAGGTATGGCATGGGGATACAATATATAATCATCAGGCTCAGGTACATATATGTTAAAGATAATGATCAAACAAATCAATTTATTGGTTGTGAAATATGAATATTTGTGTAAAGTTTAACAGAGAATGCAATAATATCTTATTTCTGAAAATTCCCGAACCTTTAATTTCTTTCTTTGAATGGTTATCAGGATTTATTGTTATTCAAAAAAACAATCAATGCTGAAGCCATACTTTACAAACATACATAAAAATTTTGCGAAAAAAAATGTCATCTAGAGATGAACAACCATAAAGACTGAAATTTTCTAAGGCTTTGTTTATAAATCAACAGCTGCAGGCAGCTTTGCTTGACATCCATGAGATTTTCTTTGAGATTCCTGTTTATGAAAGGATGGCCCTTATTGCACATTCCAGACAGCTATTGGAGGAGAAAAGGCTTAGAGACAGTGTAAGTACCCAAAGAAAATATTCTTCTCTCTCTTCTTATCAGATTGTCTTTAAAACATGTTTGTTGCTTCAATGAACTGACCCATTTGAAAACAGTTAAGCAGTTTCTGATGCAATATGCTTACTTAATCGTTATTTTCTTTAAAATGCTTTGATTTCTATTTTCATTTTGAAAGAAAATAAGTGCACATTGTAGCTGTAAATTTTTTTAGGGTAAATCAAAGATTAGGGTTCAAGATGAAGATTCATATGACCAGAGTAAATTTATTTGATGTAATTGTTGAACCTTCACACTTCAATTTCAGTTTACACGATGCAGTTGGAATGATTATAGGAAAACACTTACATTATTAAATTTTTGAAAACCATTTTATTTTCAGAATAATGTGAGGTCCAGTGTTTCCACTTCTCAGCCTAGAGTCAGCTCGGCAACTATAAAGGCCATGGAGAGAAAGCGCAAAGCAAAGTAAGTGATTCAAAATATATGTACATCTTTGAGGTAAAATTTTATATGTATATTATCCAGGTTTACTTTAATTCTGTGACTAACAATTCACATTATGGTTTAACATAGGAAGGACATATCGTTATTAAGGACAAATATCTTATATCTACAAGCACTTTGAATAATAATTTGGTCATGCATTTATGCACATAAGGAAAATATATCCAACTTTTATTATCCTATCCAATTTTTAGTGAAACGGAGGTAGCTGGGAATTTGAGACCCCAGTCTGCGCCCGCGGAAACAACTGTGTCCAGACATCCAGCTGCTCAGGCCCATAACCAGTCTATTGACTTCAGGTAAGTCAAAGACCCAGATATTGTGTTCGTGATTAAATTTCAATACATAAAATGCACCAAAAATGAAAGATTACTGAATTTACTGAATGTGTGCTTCATGAATAGAACTATAATTTTGGTGGAGTAATGTAAAACTGCTCCTATTACTGAATGTAAAAATTGTTACTGCTAAATTTTTTTTAATAAATTTTGAGAGTGCTGTAAGATACACATGTTAATAGCACATGCAGGGTTTCAAAACACACAGATTTCTCTATCTAGTGTTTTATTGCACATGGTCTTTCACATGTATATTCATTTTTTCCTTGAAAAAACTTGATTTTGCTCATTTTCCCAATCTGATTAAAATAAGATCTTTGTTACACTTCAAAATGCAGATAGTCACTGTAGAAAGACTCAAAGTGGCTATCAGAATTTCTGAGTGCATCAAAGATCTGATTAAAATAAGATTGTCTTCAAACTAGGTAATCAAAATACAGTATAAAATTATTAATTTCAGTATGTTTATCAAATGCACTTTCAAAACTTTTCTATATTTGTAAGCAACATTTCTATAGTTACAATTTCTATTGTGTAATAATAATCCATGCACTGCTGTATTTAAATGGATTTTCTTTTCTATGTGTCATTCTCCACATTTCACTGTGTATATTTTGTGTGGAGCACACTGATTGGAAGAGCAGACTGCTGTGACTAACACACTGGGCACGCCCCTCTGATGGGTCATGTGACAGGGTCGTCCGCTCTTCCTTTTAGTGTGCCCATGAGACGTCACTTCCAATCTCTCTTATCCAGGGCATTAAAGCCATTACAAGGCCAGTCTACTCCAACTAATCCTTCCAGGTAAGTCTTTAATTACTGCATTACATGTAGTACCGGATAATAAAACAGCATTTTAAAGACCTCAAAGATGTTTTTATTATGCTAGGTAATCAAAATATAGGGCGTATATTGTTTTTGTCCTGTCTGTTTGTCTGTTTGTCTGTTTATCTGTTTGTCTGTTTGTCTGTTGTCAACTTTAACCTTGGCCATAACTTTTGAACAATAAGAGATAGAGACTTCATATTTGGTATGCATACTCCACTAATAAAGTCCTTTCAAATGACATCAAGGTCAATGACCTTGTGACCTTGACTGTGACCTATATGCTAAAAATAGCTTTTTCCACTGTTTGTCATAACTTTTTAACCATAGTGATAGGGACACATATTTGGTATGCATACTCCACTAATAAAGCCCTTTCAGTTGACAACAAGGTCAATGATCTTGTGACCTTGACTGTGACCTATATGCTAAAAATAGCTTTTTACACTTTTTGCCATAACTTTTGAACCATAGGAGATAGGATCTTCATATTTGGGATGCATACTCCACTGATTAAGTTCTTTCAAATGACACCATGGTCAATGACCTTGTGACCTTGACTGTGACCTATATGCTAAAAATAGCTTTTTACACTTTTTGCCATAACTTTTGAACCATAGGAGATAGGAACTTCATATTTGGGATGCATACTCCACTGATTAAGTTCTTTCAAATGACACCATGGTCAATGACCTTGACTGTGACCTATATGCTAAAAATAGCTTTTTACACTTTTTGCCATAACTTTTAAACCATAGGAGATAGGGACTTCATATTTGGGATGCATACTCCACTGATTAAGTTCTTTCAAATGACACCACGGTCAATGACCTTTTGACCTTGACTGTGACCAATATGCTAAAAATAGATTTTTTGAACTTTGTTGCCACCGGGCGCATAGTGTTTCACAAACACATCTTGTTTTTTTTTCTTCAGCTATAAATTGCTTTCTTTTACCATTGTATTTGGTTTTTCAACAGTTACATGAACATAGATTATAGCAATATATAATGCACACCACTTTGTGATAACTTTGCATAATTACGCAAAACTGTGCTCGCGAAAATATCATTCTCGTGTATTAGTATTCCTAAAGATTATACCTAGCTGCAACCTCAATTCGTGAAAATATTGTCTCGCTAATAAAGAGTCAATGTCTATATCGCAAAAATAAGATGTCATTTCAATAGGGAAAAAGTCGAGGGGGTGTATAAAATTTTTTTTATAAAACTGTGATTTCTTAATGACCGAAATCTTTATATCCATGTTTTACTGTATTCATGTATGAGAGAGAGAGAGAGAGAGAGATGGCCTGAAGATACTTAAAAAGGGATTTTTGTTTTGTAGGGAGACAAACAAATCCAAGCCCGGTGTGATATTGAGTAAGCCGGTGTCATTTGCAGCTGCTAAAGCCAAAAAACCTGTGGCCACAGGTGGAACAGGTAAACTTTATAGCAGTCAGTATTGAAAATAAAATCATCTATCTAAATAAATACAAATCAATGAGCTGTCTACTGCCTCAACTATTTAGCCAAGTTTTGAAGCAGTTTTGTTGTTATTTCAGTGTTTGTGTAATTTTACATTTTGTAAGTAAGCTAGAGTTTGGTGTAGTGTTTCTTTTTAAAATAGAGTGGCATTTGTTTTAAATCAGTTTTTTTTGTGCATTCAGTGCAGATATTAACAAGATTTTTCTTGAAGTAGCCTTTAATTTTATATCTAATCTTTGCAATTTTTTCAATGAAAACTTTTTTTTTAGAAATGGAAATATATTTGTTTTAAATTAGTTTTTTGTGCATTCATTTTTTATGTAAAATCTAATCTTTCTGATTTTTTTTTTTAAATTAGTGATATTGTTTTTGTTTTCCAGTCACAGGAAAAACTACAACAAAGTCCTCTGCCAGCAATACTAAAAATAAAGCTGTCGTCAAGTCAAAGTTTACCAAGCCTGCAAGTGCATGGAGATAACACAGCCTTTGCCAAGCAATACTTTTGCACAGCTTAGCCCCCTGCCATACTGTTGTGCATATGGGACATGCCTTACGGTGCCAAAACATCCAGGATGTGTAGGATTTCAAGCAATCAAGTCAAGAAAGGGACAGTTGGAGATCTAAATATGTGATCTGAATCTGGAGACTGAAGTTTTCATTTGAAGAGAACTGGGTCCTTGATAAAACATCATTGATATGAAAATGGTGCAAAAGACATAACTATAGTGGATGTTTTGATTCCACTTAAATTCTGAATCAATAGATTTGGGATTGTGCCATAGTGTTCACAAGTCCAAAACACTAGGATTCTCTGTCAACTTTAAAGTCCCGTAACCATCACATTTTAAAATATTGAATTCCACAATGTAAACTTGAGCTCATTGAACAAAAACTCATATTAATACAGACATGTATTACTCTGAAGATTGGTTTACATTGGTTATTATCGATAAAAAGGGTCCATTATTTATCAATGGCATGTACATTTATCTTCAAAGAATTTTGCTATTTAATTTATAATATAAAAGTGTAATTATAAACTGCAGTATTATCCTGATTCCAAAATTCCAGGAGGAGATAATATATTTTATGCTTTATGAAATAAATGGATTTTAGAAAAAACTTAGTGTTTTTTCAACATTTTACATAGAAACTGAGAAGTAAAAACATTGATATGAAACAAACTGCTGCAAGGCTTATGGCTGACATAAGATATCTGCAGCTCTGCTGAAGTTAAATACCCCCACCCCCCAATTTATTATAAAAATTTGACATGATCTTAATTACATAAATTGAGAAATTCTCACCTGGTATATTGTGCTTTGCTACCAGTAAAATAAGATGATTTGAGACAAAATTTTCAATTTAAATTTTTATTTAGTGGACATTTTTATACATTGAGTTCACATGCTGCAAAATTTAGGCCTTGCATGTGCATGTGGTTGAACAAACTGTTATTTCAAATACTGCATATATATATTATATCTCTGCAATACAAAATATTTTAGTTATACTGAAAACTTTTCTTGAACAAAAATTTTTTTTCTGGGATATCCTAAGAAATTAAAACGTTATTTATATATATTTATATGTATTCTTGCTGACACATTTGATGATCTAGCATTAAACTGATGTAAAAATGCACATGAATCTGTTTGGGCAGTATTATGTTACATGTGTATATATGAGTATATACATCTATACTGCACATGCATATGTACATATACCTTTGAGTATGAACAAAGTCCAACGACATGTGTATTTTTAATAAACATATACATCTATAAACTCATGTATAAGTGTACTGAAATGCAAAGCAATTTGTTCATTTGTTTAAGAAGGGAAATTTGGAAGAACTATGAATATGTGATAAACTATTATGCTTGAAGTACTTTGTTGATTTTATTTTCCATTTTCATGCAATATTACAGATTGAACATTGTACATGTATGTGGGTTTATTCCTTTACTCAGATGCAAATTAAAACAAATAATGCTTAGAAAAAGTCATTAATTTTATAAATAATTTAAATGAAAATTTAACCCACATACACCATTTCAATTTGATTACAGTGACCCCTATGAATTAAAATATATAATTCGAGGGAGGTTAGAAATTCATATTATTGCAATTGATGACTCTTACATGAACATTTATATCAATAATTGTCCTGTTTTTAGCTCATTTTTAAGATGAGTTTATGCTGTACCCCCAAGCATTAGCTTCAGTGTCCCAGTAAAGTTTTGAGAGCAAATCCATTCCCAAGTAATTATACGGTCAGACCCTACTTGGACCAAACTTGCAGGGATGATGCATCTAGGAATTGCCACTACCTCTCTTGCTTTGGATGCTGACAGACAATTTCCTGATTACCAAACCTGCATGAATATTGATCTTGTGATGTACAATAACTAGAGAAAAATATGATGTGAGATGTGCCTTACTTATAGACAACTTTTGTTGTGTTGAGCTTTGTAATCTTTGATTACCTGTTTTAACCATCAAAGGGAAAACAAGGACCGATGACCTTTAGTTCAGGTAACCTCCAGGTAGTGACCTAGTCTGAAATTTCGGATTTTTTCCAGATTTTGTGCCCCCTTTTGAAGAAGGGAGGACTTGTTGCTTTACTGCTGTCAGTCAGCCTGTCTGTCGGTCCACCATCAGTTTCTGTACATTTTCTTCACAGAGGTTGCACATATTGGAATGAAATTTTTATACACAGATTTATCATAGGAATATCTAGGTCAAGTTCTGTCTTGGGTACAATCAGGCCATTTTGGACAGAGTTAGGCACCTTGGACTTGGAAAAATTCCAATAATTTGCAGTTTCTGTCCATTTTCTTCCCAGAGGTTGCACATATTGAAATGAAATTTGATATTCAGATTTGTCATAAGAATGCCGGTATCTAGGTCAAGTTCTGTTTTGGTTACATCAGGCCATTTTGGACAGAGTTATGCCCTTTTGACTTAGAAAAATTCCATTAATTTGCAGTTTCCGTTCATTTTCTTCACAGGGATTGCACACATTGAAATGAAATTTGGTATACAGATTCATCATAAAAATATATAGGTCAAGTTTTGTTTTGGGTACGATCAAGCCATTTTTGACAGAGTTATGCCCCTTCGACTTAGAAAAATCCCAATTATTTGGGTGATGGGAGCATATTGGTGTTTTACAAACATCTCTTGTTTATTATGGTTTTTAATATTTAATGTGACAGGTTTTTCAATATGCATGTAGGAGTACTCTAAATTGGAATGTATCACAATAACCAGTTTATGACACATTGGTCTGTCAGTAGAGGGCGAAGAGTACTTGTATCTGGTGATTAAAGGCAGATATTAAAAACAAAAATTGGATCTATAAATTCGTATGTTTTTTTTTTTACCTGTTTCGGTTCAAAATATCAAAAAATTGCAGATTTTTTACTATGTTCAATTTTATTGGGGCCATTTTCTTTCTAAATCCATGCATCTTCCCCCACTTTATGAGACGTAAGAACAACTTTATACAGGTAAATTACACAAACACAGATTTATTATGGTTTTTAAAGAAAGGGTTGTTTGCATTAACTGTCCTTATAAGATTTTTTTTTTAGATTGAAAAACATAAGGTAAAAGAGACACCTACTATATCACTGGTTTGCGAAAAAAAGTAAAACGAAATTCAATATTTATACTATGAAAGTTATGCGTTTATTTGATTTATGTAAAAAATCAAAGAAAGCTTCAAATGACCATGCAAATGCACGTCTAAAATTGCCATTTATTTCCACATTTCTGTGACAATTTTGAAATTTTCATGATTTTTATACAGTCGAGAAATACTGACACAGGAAATTTGATAAGGTAAAAAAAAAACAAAAGCAAAAGGTCATCAGACATTTGCACAATTGAAAATTGGCTTTATTTTGTTATAAAGCCGGTGTATATTGGCAAAATTAGGATCCCCCCTTCCCTCTTAAAGACACTTATTCGTGCAATTTAGTAATTTTACTTCCCGCTTTTGTCGTGCATAAACACTGGGGGATCATCTAGTGTTATTAAGTAGATATCTTCTTTTCTTACGACACATGACTAGCAGAAAAATTTCCCTGAGCTAATTCTCAAGTAAGTTTATATTTTGTCTTGCAATGTCGGGAAATCTTGTACTACAGATTGAAAGATATGTTGCAAAACTAGCAACTGAGTTCTATGAACAGTCCATGTATCAGTGGAATATATACAAATTAATATTAATTTTTTTTACATCCTGTTTATTATACATGGTCCTGTACAATCTCCAATGTAGAGTTGTCGTTCGTTCCCATCCCAGACACCTCTGCAATGGGCTCACGTCAAGATTTTTGACATAACGTATAAAACGTGATATTTGCAGGATTATTTCAAATTCAATTAATAGTTCTGGATTTATTTATAGCTGCAGATCTGTAGCGTTATGGTTTTATATATTTGTCTTTGACCATAACGCTACAGATCCCGTAATGCAAAAAAGGTGCAATTTACGGCGCAATATTTTTTGCGCACTTTTGGGGAGAATTTCTCCACTTTCTGGCATTGGTCAATCAACTACCTTTCAGTCTCTAAAACTAGGCACATTATTTAACTAATCTGTATATTTTATCCTTCTCCCAACCCTTTATAGTCGTCTCTACAAGTGAAAAACTCGCTGATTAAAATTGTTAGATTGCTGAAAATTCACTTCAAGCGAGTTTACTGCCTGTAGAGACAACTGTAAATGGTTGGGAGGTGGATAAAATATACATATTGGCTACAGAATATGCCTAGAATTAGGGAGTGAAAGTTAGTTGATTGACCAATGCCAGAAACTTCAAAATGAAGAAATTCTCCCCAAAAGTGCGCAAAAAATATTGCGCCGTAAATTTGCACCTTTTTTGCATTACGGGATCTGTAGCGTTATGGTCAAAGACAAATATATAAAACCATAACGCTACAGATCTGCAGCTAGATTTATTTAGTAAATATCTATCTCAAAACTCAGACATAAGCATAGAAACTGAATTATCATGAATCAAAACAAACGCAATATTTCTCGTGTTTATCACTGTGATATACAGAGGTGAATGTATGAGCCGATGGTAGAGAGTGGGTCCTGTATGCATGCCCCCGTATTGGTCATTTTCTAAAGCCGCATATACACTGTACTAGTAGCTCTGTCATGTTGTAAATTTTGAATTTACCGGGTGGCAGTAAATTCAAAATTTACAACGTTGTCATGTAAATTTTGTATTTACTGCCACCCAGTAAATTCAAAATTTAAAACATGACAGCTCTCTCTTTTCCTTACGAGCCATCAACTTCTGATTTAGAGAGAATAAGCCCTCTCCAGATCTAGAGGATCGTACATTTTGGCCGTGTTTTGCGACGATGGGGCGAAGTGGACGATCAAAGTTCGTCCATACCCCCCCCCCCCCCCCCAAAAAAAAAACGCATGTATTAAGCTATGTAAATCTGTTACGCCAAGTACATTGGAGTTTTCAAAGCTAAGAATAAATAACAAATTGGTATATCAATAGGTTCTATTGATAATTATGAAACGGCACAAAAAGACTTTTTTCATAAAGATGAACATTGTATATTTATAAAAAGGAACTAAACGAAAGCTCAAAGTTCGAGGAGAAGCGGCTTACTGATGAATAAAGCTTTCGACCACAGATCTACAATCTGAAGTGTCCTCCTTGATTATCTTTGAACATTCAACGCATTTGTATTCTAGGTCACAGGCACTTGACAGATGACAATGCATATTTTTCTAAAAATATAATTTTTATTAAATAAAAAATGTGGTTGTAAAACACTGATGCCCCCTGATGGCAGCTCATGGCGAGAGTTGACATTTCTCTAATGCAAGTTACTAGTAAACTCCAAGTTTAAGGCCTGTCTCTGTTTGTCCAAAAAACTTTTAACCTTGCCCATAACTTTTGACTTGGTGGGACTATGGCTTTCATATTTCACAGGTGTATTCCTTGTGACAAGACCTTTTTTGGGTACCACCAAAATTTACCTCTTGACCTTGACCATGGAGTTTGACACACTTTTACTCCAAAATTCCAAACTTTTTCTTTGGCCATAACTTTTGAATGGTTGGTGCTAGGACTTTAATACTTCACATTTGTATTCTTTATGACAAGACCTTCAATTGGGTACCAACAACTTTTACCTCTTGACCTTGGAAATTGACCTACTTTTAACGTACTTTAACCTTTGCCATAACTTTTAAATGTTAAGGGCTGGGATTTTCATACTTCACATATGTAATTCTTGTGACAAGACCCTTTAACCTTGACCTTGGAGTTTACCTCCTTTTAAAAAAACTGTAACCTTGGCAATAACTTTTGAAAACGTGGTGCTAGGACCTTCATACTTCGCATATATATTCTTTGTGACAAGACCTTTCATCGATACCATCAACTTTGACCTTTTGATCTTGGAGACTGACCTACTTTTAAAAAACTTTATTCTTGGCCAAAACTTTTGATTGTAATGGCTAGGGCTTTCATACTTCACATATGTAATCTGTGTCAAGACTTTCATTGGATACCATCAACTTTGACCCTTTGACCTTGACCTTAGATTTTGACCTACTTAAAAAAATAACCTTGACAATAACTTTTGACTGGTTAGGGCTAGGACTTTCACACTTCCCATATGTAATCTTTGTGACAAGGTCCTGTTTAGAAACCAACAACCTTGACCCTTTGACCTTGACCTCGGAGTTTGACCTACCTTTAAAAACGATAACCTTGGCCATTACTTTTGAAAAGGTGGTGTTGGGTTTTATATTTCACAATTGAATTTTTGTTAGTAGGCCTTACTTTGGGTATCAACATGTTTGATTTGCTTTTGAGAAAATTTAACCTTCGCTATGTTGCCATACGGGGGCATCAGTTTTTCACAAACACATCTAATTGTTCTTCGATGGTTATTAAAAGAACGATATTGGAATTTTTTGAGAGATATCGAAGATATCAATACCAATTCTCTCAATACCAAGGTAATGTACCCTGGTCGGCATGATACTCTATGAGCAAGCTAATTCAGAGATTTTGTGTCCCCCGCAGAAGGAAAAAAAGGAGGATGCTCAGATTAGGGGGGTCGACACCCCCCCCCCCCCCTTCCCTGGATTTGCAGAATTATTAAATTATGTGCTGAAGCAAATAAAAAATTCCAATATGCATATAAAGATTTGACTGTTCATTCTTTAAATGTGTATATGTTGTTAATTGAAAGTGGAAGATATTAGTTTCGGTCTGCCTGTCTAGCTGTCTGTCTGTGGTTCTATCTATCTGTAATGCTTTCATTTCCACGCGATATCTCGAGAAGTGTTTGAGCATATGAAATTTTACACAATAACTTACCATGGCCTAAAAAAACCTCTTTTGATTTTGAGAGCAAAAGGTCAAAGTCATAAATTCAAAAATTCTGTCTTTATACTTTCGTTTCCGCGTGATGTCTCGAGAAGCGTCTGAGCTTTTGCAATGACATTTTATAAAACAATTCTCTATGACCTTAGAAAGAACCCTATAGATTTTGAGGTCAACATGTCAAGGTCATAAATTCAAAAATCTGTCTATTTTAACAATTTCGTTTGCACGCCATACTAGTACCTCGAGAAGCGTTTGGGATTTTGCAATGACACTTTATTCAACAACCCCCTAAGGCCGAAGGAAGATTTATATTGATTTTGGGGTCAAAAGGTCAAGGTCGTAAATTCACATGTTCTTTGCATATGTGTGTAAAACTTTCATTTCCGGGGCGATATCTCAAGAAGCTTTTGAGATTTTTCAATTAAATTTTATACCATAACTCCCTATTGCCCCTCCCGCCCTTCCTAAAGTGGCCCACCCCCTTCTGGCCATGGGTTAGCACATTCTCTTCTTTTTTCTTTCAGCGGGGAACACAGATTCTCTGAATTAGCTTGTTACCATTATCCTCGAATCTTAGGATTTCTCAACAAACGCCCATTGTGACATATTTCTCCCAACTGTAGTCTATAAATAAACATTGCATTGTACGAATATCCCAGTTTCAAGAATACACGTGTTCTAGATATGCTGCACGGTGTCAATGCCCTCAGTGCGAGTTCAGTATCGACCCTGCATGTCTAATGGGAAGGTGATAGCTGCTGCTACGTTGTGCAGGTATTGAGGTAAGACATGCATCTCTTTCACGTTTTGGTTTATTGGAATTCTCTGTATAGTATTCTGCCAGCTTCTCAAAACGGGGTGGTTAATTCTAAGAGAATTGAACAGGTATAATCTACAAGGATGTACAGACTACCTTTAATTATCTTCATTTCAGTTTCTAAAGATTCTGCTTGCTTTGTTACAAACAAACTCTTACCTGAACTAATATACGATTCGTTTAATATTTGTGAACGGTACGATCGGTACGTTTCGTTTTGTGAACGGATAGCTGCAGAACTGTAGCTCTCCGAAAAAATATATGTTGACAGACCGGAGAGCTACAGTGCCACCCATTGAAAAAACTGTATATTTATTGCGCACAAAAAAGTGTGCTCGGTTCTGAATTAATTCTTCGAAATTCTTACCTCAATTGCAAAAAAAGGCTATATTTCAAAAAAGTCCTTACTCCTCTGTTACTTTCGTACTTTACATTTGTACTAAGTGCGTTGGACCGAATTATCGTGAAGACCAAAATGGCAGTATAAATAGGCAAAATTTTCAATGATTTCAATTTCAGGGCCAGGAGGGCTATTAAAAACAATTATAAGGAATGTTTTATTGTGGAAACAGTAAAAGAATATGTTAGAAACACACTTCTAGTGATATTTTGAGATGACAGTTTTAAAAACATTGAGAAATAAATCGAGAAACAGCGCACTTTTTTGTGCGCAATAAATATACAGTTTTTTTCTATGGGTGGCACTGTAGCTCTCCCGTCTGTCAATATATATTTTTTCGGAGAGCTACATTTCTGCAGCTATACAAATCTCACTCCGACAGTCTCCTAATTATAGCGTGAGAAAATAGCAGATCAAAATTCAATAAAAGAAATTTTTTCCTTAAATATCATTGATTTTCAAGCTCGCTGTTGAGAGGATTCTTGACCTTATCCCTATCTCTTTT